ATGGTTGTGGGTGGTGGTGGGTGGTGGTGGTGGTGATGGTTGTGGGTGGTGATGGTTGTGGGTGGTGGTGGCTGGTGGTGGTGATGGTTGTGGGTGGTGGTGGGTGGTGGTGGTGATGGTTGTGGGTGGTGGTGGGTGGTGGTGGTGATGGTTGTGGGTGGTGATGGTTGTGGGTGGTGGTGGGTGGTGGTGGTGATGGTTGTGGGTGTGGTGGGTGGTGGTGGTGATGGTTGTGGGTGGTGATGGTTGTGGGTGGTGGTGGGTGGTGGTGGTGATGGTTGTGGGTGGTGGTGGGTGGTGGTGGTGGTGGTGATGGTTGTGGGTGGCGGTGGGTGGTGGTGGTGGTGATGGTTGTGGGTGGTGATGGTTGTGGGTGGTGGTGGTGGTGATGGTTGTGGGTGGTGGTGGTTGTGGGTGGTGATGGTTGTGGGTGGTGGTGGGTGGTGGTGGTGATGGTTGTGGGTGGTGATGGTTGTGGGTGGTGGTGGGTGGTGGTGGTGATGGTTGTGGGTGGTGGTGGGTGGTGGTGGTGGTGATGGTTGTGGGTGGTGGTGGGTGGTGGTGGTGGTGATGGTTGTGGGTGGTGATGGTTGTGGGTGGTGGTGGTGGTGATGGTTGTGGGTGGTGGTGGTGGTGATGGTTGTGGGTGGTGGGTGGTTGTGTGGTGCCACGAACTCCGTAGTGACGTAGCCGCCACTTAGTGGCGAATGGCTGCTGCTGCTGCTGCTGTTGTTGTTGTCACAATCAGGCCCCCACTGTCGCAGACAAACCGGACACCTTCCGAGCCGCAACGCTCCCGCGTCAACCCGACCAGGGAGCCGAAACGCGGCGTGTGAAGCGCCACAAACCCACACACGCGCGCGCGACTCCCCGAATTCGACTCCCCGCTCACGGACCACCAACAACCGGTGACGGTTACATTTTGAAACCGGCCCTGGGGCCATCCCCTAGGTCTACTCGGCCTCAAACGAGTACCCGGCGCGACGTGTAGACATCGCTACGAGGATTGGGCCGTGCCGTGCGCGGTGCCGGCCCATCCCGACCCACTGCCTCGCTGTGATGGTTTCCACACAACGCTGAACAGAGCTTGCTCCTGATTCGAAGCTTTCGTGACCGCAGGGATCCATACTCTTTGGTTCTTTCGGTGAAGTTCACGTGGGTAGAAAAATAATAGTTCGCGACGTTTCGATCGCGACACGAGCAAAATCGTCATCGGGTGGGAACAACCACAGCAAGAACATTGACGTCAGCAGTTTTTTTTTTCTTGCTGTGGTTTCACGATCGTTTGTGTTGCGATCGAAACGTCGCGAACTATTATGTTTCTACCTACGTGACTTTAGCGAAATAACAAAAAGAGTATGGAGCCTGCTCCAGCAATGTGTTCAGGCGACACGGGGGTGGGGTGGGTGGGGTGGTGGTGGGGGGGGGGTCCCTTTGTACGCAAATCCCATCGCAGGGATCTCCACGCCGGGACAAGGCGAAGCCCATGAAATAATTTCACAGAAATTGCGTCGGCTGCAACCGAGCACGTGGCTCTCCTGGCCTCCTGCGAGTTGTCACCCGGCGAGGTAAAGTTCCACCGCTTTTTTTTTGTTAGGTTAGAGAAAAGTTTGAGTTTAAGGGGGTGGGGGCGGGGCGGGGAACCCCTCCCACCCCCACCCCCCCCCCCCAAAAAAAAAACAACACCACCGCGGTTTCTAACGTTTACGCGGAGCCTCTTAGTGATGTCTAAATGCGGGAAGAGGTGAGGGTGGATGGGGAGGTGGAGGGAAGTGATACGGCGGGGGGGGGGGGGGGGGGGGGGGGGGTGGTCACATTGAGCATCACTGCTGATGCCAACATCAGCACCTGTTTCCGTTCTTGCGAGCGTGCAAGCGGCGGCTTCGCGGTTAGCTCATCGCACCCGATGGCACCCGCGTTTGATTCGCGGCCTCGACCAATCATAGTGGCGATCATCTGGGCCTCCTCTCCCTCCTCCCTCCTGCTCGGGTCGGCTCAGCTTCCGAGGGCCTCGTACCGATGCGTAAGCGTGAGTGCAGGCAAAACAAAGGTGGCCCCGTGTGATGTTGGCTCCACCAGCCCCTCGTGCGTCGTGCCAGCCTTCATAGGTTGTCCATAATAAGAGTTGTTTTTTGGGGGGTTAGATCGCGTAAATATGTAAATGTGTCGTTAAACCCGCCACCACCCGACACAGCCAACCAGTAAGGGTTCGTCACGTAAACAGAACGTGGCCAATTCGTGACTCGTTCGGCTCACCGCTGTGTTGGAGAGTAAACGCACAGCATTAACAATTCGAGTGTTGGAGTGAGTTTACTCTCAAGCACACAACCCGGTGTGTGGCTGTACGAGTAATGAATTGGCACGTTTTGTTCACGTGACAAACCTTAAATATTGACTTCAAGCTTTCGTGACTGCAGGAATTAATATTCTTTGGGTCTTTCGGTAAAGTCACGTCGATAGGTTAAAAGAAAATTACAAAAAACCACGACGTTTCGATCGCAACACAAGCGTTCGTCGTCAGGAAGAACGCTTGTGTTGCGATCGAAACGGCGTTGTTTTTTTGTTATTTTCTTTGAACCTATCTACGTGACTTTACCGCAAGACCCAATGAACTTGACAAACCTTATGAGTGGCTGTTGTCGGGTGGTGGCGGGTTTAACGACACATTTGTATATTTCCGCGATCTAACCCCCCCAAAAAAACCTCTTTTATGGATAACATTGGTCGCGAAAGCCTACACTACTACGAAGTTTTTAAACCTCAAAGTTGTTCGCAAACAGCACTTCCCCCCAACAGACAGTCCAAGGCTACACGGGGGATCTTTCTCTTTGGTTCGTGGGGGTGGCACAGCGGTTAGCGCATTGCACAAGGACTCCTGATGGGCCTGGTTTGTTTACACTCAAAGCTGTAAGTTAGCCACATCGATAACCAACAACAATGGTAACGGATCCCAGCAATGGCGAGCGTTGCCAGGGATTGTTATTTTTTTCCCCACTGGCACACACATTATAGTTTCATAGTTTCATTTATTTTGGTATAGCCCTGTGATCCATTCGGCTCTTGAATCGGGTGCAACCGCAACAAACAAAAAAACAAAAACACGAACAAGAAAACATCTTAAAGTGACTTTGTGCATGTGCAAACAGAAAATCCAGAAAAAAACATCAAAATATTCATGAAAAAAGCACCGTACACCAACGCTGTGTGCAAAAATCCCAGTGGGATGCAAGTCAAACAACAACAACAAGACAACTAAGATTAAGGCCATCAGTCTAACTCCGTACTACAATAAACAAAAACATGGCCAAACCAAAAAACTTTTAGAAATCACCAAAATAAAGCCATAAATGCAATGTAACAGTGATCATAGGAACTGTGACCGAATTTTTAACAATGAACTACATAAATAACATGTAACACCAAACCCTAGAGCCACAGCTGGCTGCATGAGTCACTCCACAAACAACAGGAGCATCAGTCGGAGTATCACATTTTTCAATGCACCTTTAAGATCAGCACACTAAATCAAAATTACAGATAATACTTTGCAGTGGTCATCCGGAGCGAAATATTTTATTTTATTTTAGAGCTGTGCCGAGCGAGAATGGCACGGGTCAAAGTGGCACGGCTTGCTTTTCCACTGCACGAGCCGAGCCTTTCCTGCTGATGGCTTACGCGTGACAACTGACGACGTCAAGACGCGTGTAGACGACGCGGCGATGCTCTGGTCGCTTCGTTGCCGGCTGACATTGGCACTCAATTAACTCATCATTAGCCCGAACCTGCCTCTACTGGGTCGCCGGTCAGATTAAGACGTCCTACACTGGACATCCTTATTTAATCTGAAGGCATTTCGCAGGTGAAATATTTGAATTTTTAAAAAACAACAACCGTGAGGCCAGTATAACACGACTGGGTCTCAGCTCGGCACGGCACGACAAATAGGCAGTGGAAAAACTAACCCGTGCTGCGCTGGCACCGTGCTGGCGCAGCTTGGATATGCCAGTGGGAAAAGAGGCGGAATCCTTGCCCCACGAAGCGCTGTGAGCCCGACACACAAACATTGCGTTGGTGTTTTGGTGGAGAGGAGTGGAAGGGTAGGAGCTGGGGAGGGGGGGGTCAGTGAGCGGGTGCCGTCTGGACTCTCAATGTTGACTTTGATGATGGAGTTTGAACTGTTTATCCCCGCCCTCCCCTCCGCCACCGCCACTACCCCAAGCCAAGCTCCGCTGGGTCTCCTATCTGTCTGCAAACACAACGCGCATTCCTCTCCCCACCGAGAGGAGGGAGACCACCAAGACCCCCCTCCCCAAATCCCCTCCCCCCGTGTCCTCCCTATGTCCCCCCCTGTGTCCCCCCCCCCCGTGCCCCCCCCCCCACCGTCTATCCCTGTGCCCCCCTGTGCATCCCACCACGGTGCACGCGTGGGGGTGAAGTCGTCAAGCACCGCGCCCGGCCGCATTTTGTCTCCACAGGGCAGATGTTTAATATACCGCAAACGGGTACTCGCTCATTCAACGCCGAGTCGACCTAGGGGAGACCCAGAATGGCCACGAACTTTGTTCAGCAACAGAATATGAACACCAGCATGACTGAACGAACAATTCGAATCGTTCACGCGTCTATCCCTCCAACGTACAACATGCAAGTAGTTGTTTTTTTGTTTTGTTTACACATCCCGTCAGCCACGCCACCTTCTGGGAGTGCATCTTAGCAGCAGCATCGGTTCAACAGAAAGAAGACCTCTGGACCAGCTGGGACGTTTAGTGTCTCACTGAGCGAATCATGGGGAACACGGTCCCGAATGTGTAGAGGCACGGGCACTCTCTCTTTAGCTACGGGACCCGAGTTCAACACCCAGGACCCGGTTCAGATTTAAGCTACCGATGTTGGCCGTGAGCGGAAATCGAACTCGGGTGGCCGGGTTCTTAACGCAGCGCCATAATCGCCGCCCATCCCCCCCAGACTCCGATTGACGCGCGCGCGCACACAGAGAATGAACCCCGCGCGCGCGTGTGGATTTAGGGAACGAGTCCGCGTGCTCTGCGGGGCAGCTTAATGATTAACGTCTGCGAGGGGGCGAATCCCACGGCTCTGCCCTGCGACTGCCCACCGAGAGCCAGGCCCCGGCCCAGGGCTCAGAGCCGGAACCCAGCGGGCGAGCCTCACGGACACGGAGGACTCACGCCATGGCTCGGGCAGCCGTGTTGCCGCTCCTCCTCCTGCTCCTCGTGCTGCCGCATCGCAGCGTGGAGTCGAACTCGTAAGTGGGGACGTGCGCGGCGTAGGGGTGACGCGGCGTAGGGGTGGGGGTCCTCTACTGAATCCCCTCCCCGCGCGGCGCCCATCAGTGGCGGTGGTGCCTCGTTACGCAACAGCGCAACGCCACGCGGCTGGATATAGCACGCAGCTAGGGGATACTGTGGGCCTATATGGATCTCACTCATTTGGTTTTTTTCGGTAAAGTCGCGTACGTAGAAATACAGTAAAATTATATGAAAACGAAACAATCACGACGTTTCGATCACAACGCAAGCGATCGACATCAGGTGTCAAGAACAAATCATGGAGGTAAATACAACAAAAACGATGAGAGACGAGAATTCAACAAACCTGAAACAACATTATGTGAAGCACAGCCAGTCAGGCCAACAACACAGTTAGACACTTCCTGGCGGACCACGAATTTCATAAGAGTGATAAATTTCGTGTTCAACCTCTGGATTGCACATACCGGCATAGAAAGAGTGAAAAAAGCACGAGGTATACGGTCAGTAGAAATACAAATACAAGTCCACCAAGAGGTAAGGAGGGGGGGGAAGACGAGCAGGGAGGCAAGGAACGAGAAAGAGAGGGGGGGGCAGAGGGAAGAACAGAAGCTTAAATAGGAAATACGATTTGGGGGGGCAGAGAGAAAGCGGCAGCTCAAAAAGCACTTTACAAATACAAAATGGAAGCTCACAAAGGCACATCTTGCACATACACAGCAGCGGGGGGGGGGGGGGGGGGGGAATAGGCTTGGGGTGTACATTTAGGACAATTACAACGGCAACTTCCCCGTAGAAGTATGACAATATGGATCTCCTTCTGAGTCTATGGTTCTCTATGGATATTCACAGACACTATGGACACCCATAGACTCACAAGGAGACCCATAGACTCATGTGGAGACCCATAGACTCACACGGAGACCCTGTAGACTTACACAAAGACTCATAGACTCACACGGAGGCCCTGTAGACTCACACAAAGACCCATAGACTCAGACAAAGACCCATAGACTCACACAGAGACCCATAGACTCACACAAAGACCAATAGACTCACACAAAGACTTACAGACTCACACAGGGACCCATAGACTCACACAGCGACCTACACACTCACACAGAGACCCACAGACTCACACAGAGACCCATAGACTCACACAGAGACCCATAGACTCACACAGAGACCCACAGACTCACACAAAGACCCATAGACTCACACAAAGACCGATAGACTCACACAAAGACTCACAGACTCACACAGAGACCCATAGACTCACACAGCGACCTACCCACTCACACAGAGACCCACAGACTCACACAGAGACCCACAGACTCACACAGAGACCCATAGACTCACACAGAGACCCACAGACTCACACAAAGACTTACAGACTCACACAGAGACCCATAGACTCACACAGCGACCTACCCACTCACACAGAGACCCACAGACTCACACAGAGACCCACAGACTCACACAGAGACCCACAGACTCACACAGAGACCCACAGACTCACACAGAGATCCATATACTCACACAGAGACCCACAGACTCACACAGAGACCCATATACTCACACAGAGACCCACAGACTCACACAGAGACCCACAGGCTCACACAGAGACCCACGGGCTCACACAGAGACCCACAGACTCGCACAGAAACCTACAGACTCGCACAGAGGCCCACAGACTCACACAGAGACCCACAGACTCACACAGAGACCCACAGACTCACACAGAGACCCACAGACTCACACAGAGACTCACACAGAGACCCATAGCGATTGCCCCTATGGTGGAACGGTGGCACCGCGCGTGCCAAGCACGATTGGCCGGTCACCCCGCGCGATCCCCCCCCCCCCACCCCCGACGGCTCACCGCCCTCGCCGTTAGACCTCGAGCCCCGGGCACGCAGCGACTGACCGCCACTGACCCGGTGGGGCTTACGCCGTCACTTTGTGTGTGCGTGACCGCAGCACGGACGCTCACGACGCACTCATCTCCGTCTTCCTGCCGGGGGCGGAGGACGTGGGCGTCTTCGCGTCGCTTGTCACGCGCCACCAGGTAGGCACCTGCCACGCGTCGGTTCGAACACCCCCCCCACCGTCCCAGCCCCTTCGCAGACACAGGCAACACACACACACACCTGGTCAAGGTCACACCTGGACGGACCACACCTGGTCAAGGTCACACCTGGACCGACCACACCTGGTCAAGGTCACACCTGGACCTACTACTCCTGGTCAAGCTCACACCTAGACCGACCACACCTGGTCAAGGTCACACCTGGACCGACTACTCCTGGTCAATGTCACACCTGGACCGAACACACTTGGTCAAGGTCACACCTGGACCGACCACACCTGGTCAAGGTCACACCTGGACCGACCACACCTGGTCATGATCACACCTGGACCGACCACACCTGATCAAGGTCACACCTGGACCGACTACTCCTGGTCAAGGTCACACCTGGACCGAACACACTTGGTCAAGGTCACACCTGGACCGACCACTCCTGATCAAGGTCACACCTGGACCGACCACACCTGATCAAGTTCACACCTGGACCGACCACACCTGATCAAGGTCACACCTGGACCGACCACACCTGATCAAGGTCACACCTGGACCGACTACTCCTGTCAAGGTCACACCTGGACCGACCACACCTGATCAATGTCACACCTGGACCGACCACACCTGATCAAGGTCACACCTGGACCGACTACTCCTGTCAAGGTCACACCTGGACCGACCACACCTGATCAAGGTCACACCTGGTCAAGGCCATACCAGTACAACCCACACCTGCACAGACCACATCTGTTCAAGCGGGGTGGTTTATTTTAGAAGCGCCGTGTCCTCGCCAGGAAGTGTTCCCGTTGGTTTCGTGTCAACCGGGCGAGATAACCCAAGGGACCGGGAGGAGAGATAGGAGAGAGAGGAGGTGAGAGGAGGAGAGAGAGGAGGAGAGAGCGTCTCGTTTCGCGAGAGTGACCTGAAATAAAGTACAGCTGTGGACCGATGAGAAATCGGAGCACGTCTGTATGTATGTAGAACTTCTTTCGCACCGTTCGTGGCCAAGCCGCGCTAATCAGAGGCGGCAGGGCGAAGGACATCAAACCGAAAGAGATGAGTCTTGTCAATGCAGGCGACGATTTAAATGCGTACAGCTCCCCGTCGCCACCTAAAGTCGGAGGGAAAAGAGCGTTCCAGACGGCCGCGGATCGCGCCCGACAGCGCCGCGCGATGCGGCCATCGTCTCGTTGCGTTTCCCCGTGACGGGAGCTGGTCGCGTGCACGTGGCTCGCGAGGAGCACGCGCGGTAAGAAACTCCGCAGGGGCGAAGCGCAAACACAACGAAATAACAACACCCACAAAAATAGCGCACAAAACAAACAGCAATGGGAGCAAGCCTCGCATCGAACTCTGACCCTGTCTGCCCCGTGAACTCATCTGACTCGACCCTGACCCCTGTGACCCCACAGATTGACCTCTGGCGCCCCGAGTCCCTGGCCCAGCTAGGCCCCGGGTCGTCGGTGCAGTGTCTGGTGGGGGCGGAGCACACCGAGGTGGTGCTGGCATCACTCGGCAACAGCTCCATCCCCTACAAGTGACACACGCGCGCGCAGACACACACATACATACACACACATACACACACACATGCAGACACACACACAGACACACGCGCAGACACACACGCAGACACATACACACATATACAGACACACATACAGACACACACATACAGACACGCACGCAGACACACACACACACATATACAGACATACACATATACAGACACACGCGCAGGCACACACGCAGACACACACACAGACACACACGTAGACAACAACCGCCATTCGCCACTAAGTGGCGGTGACGTCACCACGACGCTTGTGCCAGGCCATGTGCACCTTGAGGCCACGTGAAGTGTCGAACGCCCGCTGGCAGGAGGTCACGGGGCAGACCCAGGTGCCACGGGTCGATTGACTGAGATGACTGGCTGATGCACCACTTGTGCCCCCTACTGTGCCAACCTGCTGTGCTTTAGCCACCCGGTGCTCCGCTCGTTGTTGTGAGCGTCGCTCCTCCGCCCTCCATTGTTGTTGGAGGGCGACTGCCTCCAACTGCCCAGTAGCGTCCTTCACGAGCCTCCTCCACAGAGGCCGATCTTGACACCGCTGGTACCAGTCATCGGCAAGTCCACTCAGTTCCACGTCCTCCTGTACCACATCACTCCATCTCTTCTCTAGCCCGTGCCGCGCCCGTTTAGCCCCCTCGATCCGGCCGAACAAAAGCTGTTTTGGCATGCGGTGGCTGGGCATGCGGGCTACATGACCCAGCCAACGCAGCGTTGCCTGCCGGAGGAGCTCACCGATGGGACCTTGCCCAGATCTTTCAAAGATTTGTGAGCTCCTCACACAATCCAGCTTGGTTAAACCCAGGATGGATCGTAGGCAGGCTAGCCTAAATGTTTCTAACCGGCGAAGATGCTCAATTAGGGGTGTCCACGTTTCGCAAGCGTAGAGAAAGGAGGGAATGACCGTGGCCGAGAAGACCTGAAGCTTAGTGCGGAGCGACAGACCAGGTAGCTTCTACACAGCGTTACGCAACCGATGAAAATATATTGCCGCTCGACTGATTCGGAGTGAGACCTCTGCTGTTAAACTGGAGCCGGTCATAAGCACACTGCCCAGGTATGGGAAACTCTCCACTCTCTCCACAACTGCCCCATCACTGATTGGGAGTTGTGGGGGTGGAGTGTCCAATGGTACAAAACACCCAGGCAGGTGCTTAGTTTTGGTGGGGCTGATGGTAAGGCCCCATCTCTTAGTGACACGCTCCAGTCTTAGCAGCAGCGTCTCCAACTCCTCCTCTGAATGAGCAGCTATTGCCAAATCATCGGCATACATAATGTGGTTGAGCAATAGGGAGCCATCCCTTGACCGCACCCGGGCATCGATCAGCCTCCCATTATATCTGTACCAAATGGAGATTTCCCTGGTACAGCTACTGAAGGCTTCACGAACTACGTGGTCAAAATAGATGTTAAATAATGTGGGAGCCAGAGGACATCTCTGTCGCACCCCAAGGTGTATAGGGAATGGCTCTGACTCCCGGCCACGTAGTTTAACCCGGGCCCGCTCACCATCATGAAGGTCCTTAATGATCGTGAGCAGAGGGTCAGGGACTCCAAAAGCACGAAGAACAACCCAGAGCCCAGGCCTACTGATGGTATCATAGGCCTTGACCAGGTCAATAAAGCAGAGATGTAGGTCTTGTTGGAATTCCCTACACCTCTGCTGTAGCAGACGGACAGAAACTATGGCATCTGTGCAGGACCGCCCTTTCCTGAAACCGTATTGGGGCTCCGCAAGCCTCTCCTCAGCGTGCCAGGCAAGGCGATGTTGAATAATCCTTGCCAGGACCTTTCCCGGCACACTGAGGCGTGAGATGCCCCTGTAGTTGTTACAGTCTGTGCGGTCCCCTTTCTTAAAGAGGGGGACCACCAGGGCATCCTTCCAATCCTGCGGAACCCGTCCAGTGGTCCAGACTGTTGTTATGATGTCATATAGGGCAGTCTGTGCACAAACGCCACCCTCCACGTAGAAACACACATACAGATACACACGCAGACACACACACATACAGACACCCGCAGACACACACGCAGACACATACACATACAGACACACACATACAGACACACGCACAGACACACACGCAGACACACACACATACAGACACACACGCAGACACATACACATACAGACACACACACATACAGACACACGCGCAGAAACACACGCAGACACATACACACATACAGACACACCCGCAGACACAAAGATCAAAGACAAAGCTCCTCCGTGTAGCCTTCACAGACTGTAGGGGCAAGTGCTGTTAGCGAGCAGCACCTATGAAGGCCGGCACGGCACACGAGGGGGTGGGTGGCCAGCACCACGCCCGGCAGCCTTTGTCTCCCCAGTGGCGATGTTTGCTACACACCGCACCAGGTACTCATTGTGAGGCTGAGTCGACCTAAGGGAGACCCAGCACTGGGTCAGATAATCGTCACAGGTGTTGGCCGTGAGCGGGAATCCAACTCGGATCGCCGGGTTTCTATGCGCAGCGTGCTCACCGCTACACTGCCCCTCCCCACATAGGTACAGACACATACCCTGACCCGTACTGACGCACACACAGCTGCATTTTGAGTGCACGTGAAGTGATCCTCATGGCGGTACCCTGGGGTTACCAAATAATACCCAATGGCCGAGGCAATTCAATATTTTATTTCTGGGGCACTCTTGTTTTCCAGGGGTGTTACTTAACTCCGCGATCGGTGTAACCAATGAATCAGAAATCGGTGCCACACTCCGCGATGTCGAAACGCAGCGAGGGCGATCGCCCCGAAAACCTGAAACGCTCGCGGCACGCATCGTAGTGCGTGGCGATGCATCGTGTACAGCTCGTCGAGATGAGTCGATTGCCGCATCGCCGACCGTCAGCAGGCTAAGAATGACTGCATCACGGACATCACGCGCTGTGGGACCCCGGGGTAGCGCCTTGAGGTCAAGTGTCAAAGGCTCCCTGGCAGCAAGAGGTCACGGGACAGAGCCCCAGGTACCATGGGTTGGCCGACTGAGACGACCCGGCAGACGCACCAGCTGTTGCTCCGCGCCGTGCCACGTCGCTGCGTTTTACTCCTCACCGGCGCTCCGCTCGTTGTTGTGAGCGTCGCTGATCTCTCCGCCCTCCACTGTTGCCGGAGGGCGACTGCCTCCACGCGGACGCCTTCACCTGCAGCCTACGCAAAACCTCGTCAACACGAATCACGATGGCGATGAGTCAGGATGGTGATTGTGCCATTGATGCTGACGGTGATGCTGATGATGATGAGAGTGATGATGAGAGTGTCTGAGAGTGATGGCGATCAACGTGATGACGCTGATGATGGTAACGATGGCAATGCGGATGACGATGGTGACGATGGTTACGATGACGATGGTTACGATGACGATGGTGACGGTGTCCCAGTGTGACGGTGAGCAACGTCGAGGAGGAGGTGACGAAGCAGGCGACGCAGCTGCAGGACATGAGTGCCAACGTGGCGCGCGGGAAGGTCTCCTACTACGACACCTACCACCCCCTCGACGAGGTGGGCGCCCCCACCTCGTTGCTGCCCACCTCTTCGCACGCACCTCGTCACCCTCACCTCGTCACCCTCACCTCGTCACCCTCACCTCGTCGCGTCTCACCTCGTCACCCTCACCTCGTCGCATCTCACCTCGTCACCCTCACCTCGTCGCGTCTCACCTCGTCACCCTCACCTCGTCACCCTCACCTCGTCGCGTCTCACCTCGTCGCGTCTCACCTCGTCACCCTCACCTCGTCACCCTCACCTCGTCACCCTCACCTCGTCGCGTCTCACCTCGTCGCATCTCACCTCGTCACCCTCACCTCGTCGCGTCTCACCTCGTCACCCTCACCTCGTCACCCTCACCTCGTAGCGTCTCACCTCGTCATCCTCACCTCGTCGCGTCTCATCTCGTCACCCTCACCTCGTCACCCTCACCTCGTCGCGTCTCACCTCGTCACCCTCACCTCTTCGCACGCACCTCGTCACCCTCACCTCGTCACCCTCACCTCGTTACCCTCACCTCGTCGCGTCTCACCTCGTCGCGTCTCACCTCGTCACCCTCACCTCGTCGCGTCTCACCTCGTCATCCTCACCTCGTCGTGTCTCACCTCGTCGCGTCTCACCTCGTCATCCTCACCTCGTCACCATCACTTTGTCGCATGCAACTCGTCACCCCTCACCTCGTTGCACGCACATCATCCCATACCTCGTCACCCCCATCTCATCACCCCACCTCGTCACCCCCACCTCGTTACACACATATCATCGCACGCACCTGGGTGAGTGGATACGTTGGTGGCAGTGGATAGGTGAGTGGGTGAGTGGGTGAGTGAGTGAATGGGTGGGTGAGGTTGTGAGTGGGTGAGTATGTGGGTGAGTGGGTGGGTGAGTGGGTGAGTATGTGGGTGAGTGGGTGAGTGGATGGGTGAGTGGGTGCGTGGATGGGTGAGTGGTTGAGTGGGTGGGTGAGTGGGTGGGTGAGTGGGTGAGTGGGTGGGTGGGTGAGTGGGTGGGTGGGTGAGTGAGTGGGTGGGTGAGTGGGTGGGTGAGTGTGTGAGTGGGTGGGTGAGTGGGCGGGTGAGTAGGTGGGTGAGTGGGTGAGTGAGTGGGTTGGTAAGGCTGTGAGTGGGTGGGTGAGTGGGTGAGTAGGTGGGTGAGTAGGTGGGTGAGTGGGTGAGTAGGTGGGTGAGTGGGTGAGTGGGTGAGTGGGTGAGTGCGTGGATGAGTGGGTGAGTAGGTGGGTGAGTGGGTGAGTGAGTGGGTGAGTGGGTGAATTGGTGGGTGAGTGGGCGAGTGGGTGAGTGGGAGAGTGAGTGGGTGGGTGTTTGGGTGAGTGGGTGGATGAGTGGGTGGGTGGGTGAGTGGGTAGGTGGGTGAGTGGGTAGGTGAGTGGGTGTGTGAGTGGGTGAGTGGGTGAGTAAGTGAGTGGGTGAGTTGGTGGGTGAGTGAGTGGGTGAGTGGGTGGGTGAGTGGGTGAGTGAGTGGGTAAGTGGGAGAGTGGGAGAGTGAGTGGGTGAGTAACCGAGTGAGTGGGTAAGTGAGTGAGTGGGTGAGTGAGTGGGTGAGTGAGTGGGTGAGTGGGTAAGTGAGTGAGTGGGTGAGTGAGTGGGTGAGTGGGTAAGTGAGTGAGTGGGTGAGTGAGTGAGTGGGTGAGTGAGTGGGTGAGTGGGTAAGTGAGTGAGTGGGTAAGTGAGTGAGTGGGTAAGTGAGTGAGTGAGTGGGTGAGTGAGTGGGTGAGTGGGTAAGTGAGTGAGTGGGTGAGTGAGTGGGTGAGTGAGTGGGTAAGTGAGTGAGTGGGTGAGTAACAGAGTGAGTGGATAAGTGAGTGATTGGGTGAGTGAGTGGGTGAGTGAGTGGGTGAGTGGGTAAGTGAGTGAGTGGGTGAGTGAGTGGGTGAGTGAGTGGGTGAGTGAGTGGGTGAGTGGGTAAGTGAGTGAGTGGGTGAGTGAGTGGGTGAGTGAGTGGGTGAGTGAGTGGGTGAGTGGGTAAGTGAGTGAGTGGGTGAGTGAGTGGGTGAGTGGGTGAGTGAGTGGGTGAGTGAGTGGGTGGGTGAGTGAGGGAGTGAGTGGGTGAGTGAGTGGGTGGGTGAGTGAGTGGGTGAGTGGGTAAGTGAGTGAGTGGGTGAGTGAGTGGGTGAGTGGGTAAGTGAGTGAGTGGGTGGATGAGTGGGTGAGTGGGTAAGTGAGTGAGTGGGTGAGTGAGTGGGTGAGTGGGTAAGTGAGTGAGTGGGTGAGTGAGTGGGTGAGTGGGTAAGTGAGTGAGTGAGTGGGTGAGTGGGTAAGTGAGTGAGTGGGTGAGTGAGTGGGTGAGTGAGTGGGTGAGTGAGTGGGTGAGTGAGTGGGTGAGTGAGTGGGTGAGTGGGTAAGTGAGTGAGTGGGTGAGTGAGTGGGTGAGTGAGTGGGTGAGTGAGTGGGTGAGTGGGTAAGTGAGTGAGTGGGTGAGTGAGTGGGTGAGTGAGTGGGTGAGTGAGTGGGTGAGTGAGTGGGTGAGTGGGTGAGTGAGTGGGTGAGTGAGTGAGTGGGTGAGTGAGTGGGTGAGTCAGTGGGTGAGTGAGTGGGTGAGTGAGTGGGTGAGTGAGTGGGTGAGTGAGTGGGTGAGTGAGTGGGTGAGTCAGTCGCTTTCCCCTCCCTCCTCCCGGCGGTCCGATCCGCTCGTTACGCTGTGGCTGCGTGACCACTGTAAGCTGCTGCGGTCTGTCTGTGTCTGTGTGTATGTGTCTGTGTGTATGTGTGTGTCAGTGTGTGTGTGTGTCAGAGCGATAGTGTAGCGGTTAGCGCGCTGCGCTATGAACCTGGCGACCCGGGAACCTGTCCTGGGCCTCCCCTAGGTCGACTCAGACTGAAATTAGTACCTGGTGCGGTGTATAACACTGGGGAGACAAAGGCGGCCGGGCGTGGTGCTGGCCACCCACCCCATGTGTGTCGTTCAGGTCTTCATAGGTGCTCGCTAAAAGCACTTGCCCCAACGATCTGGTAAGGCTATACGGGGAATATTTGTCTTTGTATGTGTGCGCGAGTGTCTGTGTCTGTGTTTGTGGGGAGCTGTGGTACAGGGGTTAGCGCGCTGCGCTACCAACCCAGCGAGTTCCTTGTCCCGCTCACGGCCACCAACACCTGTGACGATTATCTGAATCGTTCCTGGGCCTCCTCTAGATCGATTCAGCCTCAAATGAGTGCCTGGTGCGATGCGTAAACATCGCCGCAGGGGAGACAAAGGCGGACGGGCGCGGTTGCTGGCCACCCACCAACCTCGTGGTTCGGCCTACTCGCGAACAGCACTTGCCCCAAAAGTGTGTTAAGGCGATACGGGGGATCTTTGTCATTGTGGTGTCTCTGTGGTGTCTTTGTGGTGTCTTTGTGGTGTCTGTGTGCGTAGATCTACCGGTGGATGGAGGAGGTCGCGAAGCACTACTCCAGCTGGGTCTCCTACAAGCGGATTGGCGTCTCCCACGAGAACCGACCCCTCTACGTCATCAAGGTAGCGGCACTCGCCGGCACTTAGCACCACCACCCAGCAGCACCACCCAGCACCACCACCACCACCACCACCCAGCACCACCACCCAGCAGCACCACCACCACTCAGCACCACCACCCAGCAGCACCACCCAGCACCACCACCACCACCCAGCAGCACCACCCAGCACCACCACCACCACCACCCTGCAGCACCACCCAGCAGCACCCAGCATCACCACCACCACCACCACCACCCAGCACCACCACCCAGCACCACCACCACCACCCAGCACCACCACCCAACATCACCCAGCACCACCACCCACCACAACCACCCAGCAGCACCACCACCCAGCACCACCACCCACCACAACCACCCAGCAGCACCACCCAGCACCACCCAGCACCACCACCCAGCACCACCACCCAGCACCACCACCACCACCACCACCACCCAGCAGCACCACCCAGCAGCACCCAGCATCACCACCACCACCACCACCACCCAGCACCACCACCCAGCACCACCACCACCACCACCACCCAGCACCACCACCCAACATCACCCAGCACCACCACCCACCACAACCACCCAGCAGCACCACCACCCAGCACCACCACCCACCACAACCACCCAGCACCACCACCAGCACCACCACCCAGCACCACCCAGCACCACCACCCAGCACCACCACCCAGCACCACCACCCACCACAACCACCCAGCAGCACCACCCAGCACCACCACCCAGCACCACCCAGCACCACCACCCAGCACCACCACCCACCACAACCACCCAGCACCACCACCCAGCAGCACCACCCAGCACCACCACCCAGCAGCACCACCCAGGACCACCACACAGCACCACCACCCACCACAACCACCCACCACCACCACCCACCACAACCACCCAGCACCACCACCCACCACAACCACCCAGCACCACCACCTACCACAACCACCCAGCACCACCCAGCAGCACCACTGCGGTTCTGTGCAGTGCACCAGGTTTTGCATGAGGGGATTGGTAGTCACCAGATAATTAAATAAAGGAATCAGTAAATTAGGCATTTAGTCAATCAATAAGTCAGTCGGGTCAATTAGTCCATCAGCCAATCCACGCGTCAATTATTCAGTTGATCGATCTGCCAGCCAAACATTCAAATCAGTCAGTGAGTCAACCACAATGAAACCGGTTGCCCCTTTGCGATTCGGTCGGCCTTGCACCGAATCCCTCGAAGGGCATTGATGCCGAAGGTGGTCAAAAGCTGCCCTGCGCTGAGAGTGGAGGATTGGGGAGTGTGGCTGACGATGTTGACGGATTTTTTGCGGGTGTCAGCTCAACGTTGCTGTGCATTCGACGCACCTCCGATTAGCACGGTTGGCTACGTACGGTGCGAACGAAGTTCAACATTCATAAGTAGACTCACACGGAGACCCATAGACTCACATGGAGACCCATAGACTCACACAAATACCCATAGACTCACACAGAGACTCACAGACTCACACAGAGACCTATAGACTCACACAGAGACCCATAGACTCACACAGAGACTCACAGACTCACACAGACACCCATAGACTCACACAGAGACCCATAGACTCACACAGAGACTCACAGACTCACACAGACACCCATAGACTCACACAGAGACACATAGACCCGCACAGAGACCCATAGTTTGTTGTCATTTCCCCGCACCTCCGATGATCACGGGTAACTACGTACGGTGCGAAAGAAGTTCAACCGTACATACACACGTACTCACGTCTCTCCGTGTGCCCCGCCCCCTCTCTCGCGCGCCCCTCCCCCCACCACCTGGGGCGCCAGGTGGGGGTGCGCAGCTCCGTGGCCAAACCGGCGGTGTGGATCGACTGCGGCATCCACGCGAGGGAGTGGATCGCTCCCGCGTTCTGCCAGTACTTCGTGCAGCACGTACGCGCCCACTCGCTCGCTCGCCCGCTCGCTCGCCCGCTCATTTGCCCACTCGCCCGCTCGCTCGCCCGTCCGCCCGTTCGCCTGCTCGCCCGCTCGCCCGCTCGCTCAACCGCTCGACCGCTCGCTCGCTGGCCCGTTCGCCCGCTCGTTCACCCCCTCACTCGCCCGCTCATTTGCCCGCTCATTTGCCCACTCACTCGCCCACTCATTTGCCCGCTCACTCGCCCGCTCGCCCGCTCGCTCACCCGCTCGCTCGCCCGCTCATTTGCCCGCTCACTCGCCCGCTCGCTCGCCCGCTCATTTGCCCGCTCGCCCGCTCGCTCAACCGCTCGACCGCCCGCTCGCTCGCTCGCTCGACCGCTCGCCCGCTCATTTGCCCGCTCGACCGCTCGCTCGCCCGCTCGACCGCTCGCCCGCACGCACACCTGCACAAGTAGGTGCCCACTCTCTCGTTCACCTACTCGTTCGCTCACCCACACACGTATGTGCTCACTTGCTCGCTCACCCGCTTGCCCACATACTCACCCACCCACTAACCCCCCACCCCTACACTAACCCACCCACTAAGGGGCCGTCCATAAATGACGTCATGCACCGGGGGGGTGTCAGACATTTGTGACGATGTGTGACGAGGGGGGGGGGGATTGAGAAATGTGACGTCACATCAAAATGCGCAACTTTAAATAAATATGGAATTGTTATAACATATTTTTTATACATTTTAATTATTTGATTATTTAAATTTACTAAGGTCACCTTTCATCTATTCCATTAAGGATAATTTTGCTTCTCCATGGGAGAATGGAGAAGCATACATTTTAAATATTTGTTTTAATGATTGTTATTAACCATTTTGATTCTAATGATTCTACCACGGCTTTTCATTCTGTGGAATGAATATGTGATTGTTATAATTGTACTCTCCATTTTGCTTCATTCTACTACAAAGTTTCAAGTATTTTTTTTATAGTTATAATTACTTTGAATATTTTATAATTACAAGATGATTTAAATATAATATTCTGAACATCTGCAGTTTTAGTGAGACGTTAAATATTTTCAAGTGAATTTTATGCTAAATTTAAGCTTTCCAACGCTTCCTTTTTAACACGTACTTTCTCCTACAACATCAGAGTGCAGCGCCACATTAAATACGCACTACAATGACAATAGTTTACAGCGATTTGAAGCATGTTTTATTTTCAAAATGGAAATATGGTTTTGGGGGGGGAGGGGAGGGACAGAGCTTTGTGACGTCATAATTGAGGGGGAGTCTGACTTTTTGTGACGCCGTGTGACGAGTGGGGGGGGTGCAAAAATCGTCCAAAATCGCGTGACGTCATTTATGGACGGCCCCTAACCCACCCACCCGCTAACCCACCAACTCACCCACCAACTCACCCATCGACCAACCCACTAACCCACCCACCCACCCGCTCACCCGGTGAGGTGGCTATACTTGTGCCGTGTCTCCCAGGCGGTGAACCGTCTCGACCGCTCCATGATGGAGCTGCTCAAACATTTTGACTTCTACGTCCTCCCAGTGCTCAACGTCGACGGCTACCACTACAGCTGGACCAAGGTGGAACCCGCAGACTCACACAGAGACCCACAGACTCACACAGAGACCCATAGACTCACACAGAGACCCACAGACTCACACAGAGACCCACAGACTCACACAGAGACCGATAGACTCACACAGAGACCCACAGACTCACACAGAGTCCCATAGACTCACACAGAGACCCATAGACTCACACAGAGACCCACAGACTCACACAGAGACCCACAGACTCACACAGAGACCCACAGACTCACACAGAGACCCACAGACTCACACAGAGACCCACATACTCACACAGAGACCCACAAACTCACACAGAGACCCACAAACTCACACACAGAGACCCATAGACTCACACAGAGACCCATAGACTCACACAGAGACCCACAGACTCACACAGAGACCCGCAGACTCACACAGATCCCCACAGACTCACACAGAGACCCACAGACTCACACAGAGCCCGCAGACTCACACAGAGACCCGCAGACTGACACAGAGACCCGCAGACTCACACAGAGACCCACAGACTTACACAGAGACCCACAGACTCACACAGAGACCCACAGACTCATCACACAGGCCCACAGACTCACACAGAGACCCACAGACTCACACAGAGACCCACAAACTCATCACACAGAGACCAACAGACTTACACAGAGACCCACCGATTCACACAGAGACCCACAAACTCATCACACAGAGACCCACAAACTCATCACACAGAGACCAACAGACTCACACAGAGACCCACATACTCACACAGAGACCCACAAACTCACACAGAGACCCACAAACTCACACACAGAGACCCATAGACTCACACAGAGACCCATAGACTCACACAGAGACCCACAGACTCACACAGAGACCCGCAGACTCACACAGATCCCCACAGACTCACACAGAGACCCGCAGACTCACACAGAGCCCGCAGACTCACACAGAGACCCGCAGACTGACACAGAGACCCGCAGACTCACACAGAGACCCACAGACTTACACAGAGACCCACAGACTCACACAGAGACCCACAGACTCATCACACAGGCCCACAGACTCACACAGAGACCCACAGACTCACACAGAGACCCACAAACTCATCACACAGAGACCAACAGACTTACACAGAGACCCACAGACTCACACAGAGACCCACAAACTCACACACAGGCCCACAGACTCACACAGAGACCCACAGACTCGCACGGAGACCCAGGGACTCAGAAGCTCACCGTGTCCATCATTGGTTACTTCTGCTGATAACACCTTTAATGAGTGTTTTGCATAATCTCCGTATACCCCCCCACCCCCCCCCGGTGTGAAACCGCCACCCCCCCCCCCCCATGTGCCCCCTCACCCCCCCCATGTGCCCCCCCCCCCGCAGTCGCGTCTGTGGCGCAAGAATCGCGCCCGCAGCTCGCACAGCGCCTGCGTCGGCGTCGACCTCAACCGCAACTGGAACGCGAGCTGGGGGGGTGCGTGCATGGGAGCCCCCCACCCTCACTCAGCAGCGCAAGCACCACTAGCGGCACAACCAGTAGCAGTAGCACAACCAGCAGCAGTAGCACAACCAGCACGACCAGTAGCACCACAGCCAACAGCACAACCACCATCAGCACAACCACCATCAGCACAACCAGCATCAGCACAACCAGCAACAGCATCAGCACAACCAGTAGCAGCGGAAAGAGCAGCAGCAGCAGCAGTGTCATTGGATTCCTGTGCACAATTCAATTCTAGCATGGAAACCCGCATACTCTCAGTGACACCCATAGACTCGCAGAGAGACCCATAGACTCACACAGAGAGACCCATAGACTCACAGAGACCCATAGACTCACAGAGAGACCCATAGACTCACAGAGAGACCCATAGACTCACACAGAGAGACCCATAGACTCACAGAGACCCATAGACTCACAGAGAGACCTATAGACTCACACAGAGAGACCCATAGACTCACAGAGACCCATAGACTCACAGAGACCTATAGACTCACAGAGAGACCCATAGACTCACAGAGACCTAATCACTCAGAGAGAGACCCATAGACTCACAGAGACCTATAGACTCACAGAGAGACCCACAGACTCACACAGAGAGATCCATAGACTCAGAGAGCTCCATAGACTCACATATAGAGACCCATAGACGTATACAAACCTCAAACTCACATAAACATCTACATTTTCACAAAGCGACCCATAGACTTACATGGAGATCCATTTACTCACAGAGACACCCATAGACTCACACATAGAGACCCATAGACTTACATGGAGATCCATTCACTCGCATATAACAACCCGTGGATCAAGCAAAGGACCCGGGCACTTTCCTTGGACCCATGGACTCGCAGAGAGACCCACTGACTCCCACCGAACACACAGGCATTACCACTGAGACCCATACATTAACACGGGACTCAGAGGCCCGCATAGAAGCTGTGGCCTCGCGCACAGACGCCACGGGCTGAGGTGGAGGCCTGCAGGGCCCGCGAGCAGAGAGGCCATCAGCGAGCACCGTGACCTGGTGGCATTGCTGCGGAGTGTGTGGGCCAGTGTCCGTCGCTCATTCTCGGAGGGGGGCCACTTTGGCCGATGAGACGTCATCGGTGCGAGGGCCTCCGCAACATTTGAAACCACTGTTGGGTTTGTGACAGCACAATGATGATGGGGGGGGGGGGGGGGGGCGGGCGGGGGGGGGTGTTTGTGTATTGTCGGGGAGCCGTATGTCAGGGGCCGCATTGAAGGCCACCGGGGGGGGCAGCCAGTGGCACGCTGGGCCTTGCACTGAAGGCCACCAGGGGGGCAGCCAGTGGCACGCTGGGCCTTGCACTGAAGGCCACCAGGCCAGTGGCACGCTGGGCCTTGCACTGAAGGCCACCACGGGGGCAGCCAGTGGCACGCTGGGCCTTGCACTGAAGGCCACGCGGGTGTAGGCCGCGCACTTGCTGCACCGTGGGAGCCACGGCAGGAGAGGGGGGCAGCCACGTGACCGCAGACCAGTCACGTGTGTCGACGTCACTGGAGTAGCCCCCCCCCCACCCGAACTTCCCGGCTAAACCTCCCCCTCCTCCCTTCACCCCACCCCCCACTAACCCCCCCCACTAACCCCCTACCACCCCCTGCTCCACCCCCCCAACGACCCCCTCCTTCACCCCCCGCCCCCTCACCCCCCACCCCGCGGCACCAGGGCCCGGCGCGTCCGCCGACCCCTGCTCGCAGACTTTCCAGGGCTCGCGACCCGAGTCGGAGCCCGAGGTGCGTGCGGTGGCCGCCTTCATCCGGGAGCGGCGCCACCGCCTGCACGCCTACGTGACGGTCCACGCCTACTCGCAGATGCTCATCTTCCCATACTCGTACACGGAGCAGCGCAGCGCACACCACGAAGAACTGGTGCCAGGGATGGGTGGGGGTGGGGGTGGTGCTCACTCATTCATAATTCGTTTTCCCCGCCACTGTGTGTCACGGTGGCCTGGCGAGATGTTGGCTGCCTCGCCCGGTATGCAGGAGGTCTGTGCGTTCGATCCCGATCCCTGACGCCTGTTGTACAATTGAGAGTGTGTGTGTGTGGCTCTCTCTCTCCGTGGAGATGTTAACTAGCTCGCCTGGTGTACGGGAGGTCGTGGGTTCGACCTTTACCACTGACGCCTGCTGTATATTTGGAGTTTGCGTGTCTCTCTCTCTCTCTCATCATTACGGTGGCTAGGAGATGTTAACTACCTCGCCTGGTATGCAGAAAGTCGTGGGTTCGATCCCGACCCTGACGCTTGTTGTATATTTGGGAGTTTGTGTGCGTGTGTGTGTCTCTATCCCAATGGAGATGTTAACTACCTCGCCTGGTATGCAGGAGGTATGTTAAAGGCTCTAGGGGAATCTTTGTCTTCGTCTTGTGTATGTGTATCTATGTGTGTGTGTGTCTTTGTCGATGTGTATGTTTCTTGGTCTATGTATGTGTTTAGTGTTGTTGTCCTTCCACCGCAACCTCCGATTACACGGTTGGCTATGTACGGTGCGAAAGAAGTTTAACATACATGCCGTGTGTTGCTGTATACCGTGTGCTGCTATGTATCGTGTGTTGTGTACCATGTGTGTTGTGTACCGTGTGTGTTGTGTACCGTGTGTGTGTTGTGTACCGTGTGTGTACCGTGTGTGTGTTGTGTACCGTGTGTGTTGTGTACCGTGTGTGTTGTGTGCCGTGTGTGTTGTGTACCGTGTGTGTTGTGTACCGTGTGTTGTGTACCGTGTGTGTTGTGTACCGTGTGTGTTGTGTACCGTGTGTTGTGTACCGTGTGTGTTGTGTACCGTGTGTGTTGTGTACCGTGTGTGTGTTGTGTACCGTGGTGTGTACCGTGTGTGTGTTGTGTACCGTGTGTGTTGTGTACCGTGTGTGTTGTGTGCCGTGTGTGTTGTGTACCGTGTGTTGTTGTGTACCGTGTGTTGTGTACCGTGTGTGTTGTGTACCGTGTGTGTTGTGTACCGTGTGTTGTGTACCGTGTGTGTACCGTGTGTTGTGTACCGTGTGTTGTGTACCGTGTGTTGTGTACCGTGTGTGTTGTGTACTGTGTGTGTTGTGTACTGTGTGTGTTGTGTACCGTGTGTTGTGTACCGTGTGTTGTGTACCGTGTGTGTTGTGTACCGTGTGTGTTGTGTACTGTGTGTGTTGTGTACCGTGTGTTGTGTACCGTGTGTTGTGTACCGTGTGTTGTGTACCGTGTGTGTACCGTGTGTGTACCGTGTGTGTGTTGTGTACCGTGTGTGTTGTGTGCCGTGTGTGTTGTGTACCGTGTGTTGTGTACCGTGTGTGCTGTGTACCGTGTGTGTTGTGTACCGTGTGTTGTGTACCGTGTGTTGTGTACCGTGTGTTGTGTACCGTGTGTGTGCTGTGTGTTGTGTACCGTGTGTGTTGTGTACTGTGTGTGTGTTGTGTACTGTGTGTGTTGTGTACCGTGTGTTGTGTACCGTGTGTGTGCTGTGTGTTGTGTACCGTGTGTTGTGTACTGTGTGTGTTGTGTACCGTGTGTTGTGTACCGTGTGTTGTGTACCGTGTGTTGTGTACCGTGTGTTGTGTACCGTGTGTGTTGTGTACCGTGTGTGTTGTGTACCGTGTGTTGTGTACCGTGTGTGTTGTGTACCGTGTGTGTTGTGTACCGTGTGTGTGTTGTGTACCGTGTGTGTACCGTGTGTGTGTTGTGTACCGTGTGTGTTGTGTACCGTGTGTGTTGTGTGCCGTGTGTGTTGTGTACCGTGTGTGTTGTGTACCGTGTGTTGTGTACCGTGTGTGTTGTGTACCGTGTGTGTTGTGTACCGTGTGTTGTGTACCGTGTGTGTACCGTGTGTTGTGTACCGTGTGTTGTGTACCGTGTGCTGTGTACCGTGTGTTGTGTACCGTGTGTGTTGTGTACTGTGTGTGTTGTGTACTGTGTGTGTTGTGTACCGTGTGTTGTGTACCGTGTGTTGTGTACCGTGTGTGTTGTGTACCGTGTGTGTTGTGTACCGTGTGTTGTGTACCGTGTGTGTTGTGTACCGTGTGTGTTGTGTACCGTGTGTGTGTTGTGTACCGTGTGTGTTGTGTACCGTGTGTGTTGTGTGCCGTGTGTGTTGTGTACCGTGTGTGTTGTGTACCGTGTGTTGTGTACCGTGTGTGTTGTGTACCGTGTGTGTTGTGTACCGTGTGTTGTGTACCGTGTGTGTACCGTGTGTTGTGTACCGTGTGTTGTGTACCGTGTGTTGTGTACCGTGTGTTGTGTACCGTGTGTGTTGTGTACTGTGTGTGTTGTGTACTGTGTGTGTTGTGTACCGTGTGTTGTGTACCGTGTGTTGTGTACCGTGTGTGTTGTGTACCGTGTGTGTTGTGTACTGTGTGTGTTGTGTACCGTGTGTTGTGTACCGTGTGTTGTGTACCGTGTGTTGTGTACCGTGTGTGTACCGTGTGTGTACCGTGTGTGTGTTGTGTACCGTGTGTGTTGTGTGCCGTGTGTGTTGTGTACCGTGTGTTGTGTACCGTGTGTGCTGTGTACCGTGTGTGTTGTGTACCGTGTGTTGTGTACCGTGTGTTGTGTACCGTGTGTTGTGTACCGTGTGTGTGCTGTGTGTTGTGTACCGTGTGTATTGTGTACCGTGTGTTGTGTACCGTGTGTTGTGTACCGTGTGTTGTGTACCGTGTGTTGTGGCGGTGCGGCTGCCACGCAGGAGCTGGTGGCGCAGGAGGTGGTGCAGGCGCTCCGCAGCGTGCACGGGACGCCGTACAGGCACGGCGCAGGGGGACCCATGCTGTGTGAGTGGCGAGCAACCACCACCACCACCGCACCACCACCCAGCCCCACCACCCAGCCCCACCACCACCCCACCACCCCCAGCCCCACCATCCCCCCCCGCCCCACCACCCCCCCCAACCCCACCACCCTCAGCCCAATCACTCAGCCCCACCACCCTCACACCCCCACCAAACCCACCACCCCCCAGCCCCGCCAGCCCCACCACCATCCAGCCCCACCACCCCCACCACCCCCAGCCCCACCACCCTCCCACACCCCCGCCAGTCGCCTCCGACCCTCCCCTCACCAGCGCCACCCCCACCCCCTGTCCCCCCCCCCCCCCCCCCCCCGTGGAACAGACATGGCAGCGGGGGGCTCCGACGACTGGGCACACGACCTGGGCATCAAATACTCATTCACATTCGAGCTGCGCGACACGGGCCGATACGGCTTCCTGCTGCCCGCAAACTTCATCCGCGCCACCTGCCAGGTCCCGCCCCCCCTCCACCCCTCCCTCTACCCCCTCCACCCCCTCCACCCCTCCCTCCACCCCTCCCTTCAAACCCCTCCACCCTCCTCCACCCCCCCTCCACCCCTCCCTCCACCCCCCTCCACCCTCCTCCACCCCCCTCCACCCCTCCCTCTACCCCCTCCACCTCCTCCTCCACCCCCCCCTCCCCCCACCCCACGCGCACACAGCAGTAGAGTCGAGCCTGGCTCTAAACTCAACTTGAAAACTAAGCTATGTTTTTCTCTTTCACTAGGCAAGGCCCCAACTGAGCTGCTACGTCGCTCGTTTTCAGTAGCGACCTGGCCATCACGAATGATGGCCCAACGAAGTGGGCTAATCATCATCATCACCACCACGTGGACATTTACAGCAGCAGTGGCTTATCATCATATTCAAATGTATAGCAGCCAAATACTCCGAACGCGTGATGTTGCTTCTGGAGGGGGAAGAGGAACCGTAGAAAAAAATCCACGCGACCACGGGGAGAGAGACACACACACACACAACTCCCAAATATACAGCAGCAGGCGTCAGGGTTGGGATCGAACCCACGACCGCCTGTATACCAGGCGAGGTAGTTAACATCTCACCACCTTGGCACCCGCCCTGGAGGTGGAAGAGTCATTTTATCAAGGCGCCACGGTGGCTATGAGATGTTAACTACTTCTCCCGGTGTACAGGGGTCGTGGATTCGATCCCGACCCTGACGCCTGCTGTATATTTGGAGTTTTCGCGTCTCTCCGTAAGCCGCGTGGATTTTTCCCCCAGCTCGTCCGGTATTTTCCTCCACATTAACAATTTAACGTCACGCGCTTAGAGTCTTTGTCTGCAGCACATTTCAACATGATGATAAGCCACTTCGTTGAGCGAGCATCTGTGGGCATGTCACTTCTGAACAAAGTGCCACATAGCTCAGTGGCGCCTTACCCGATCAACTAAAAATAACAACGCTGACAGTTTTAGTTCATCATCACCGCTGCCGATGGTCTGTCGGTCACGTGGGCTCACATTTACTCTGACGGTGACCTGAGAGACGAGAGGTCCACAATGCACCTCTCTTCCCCAGAGACGCCGATTGTGTCTCGTCGCGTCGTTCACGGAGCCCGTGTGCTCATCCAATTTACACGCTGCCCGCGCCGTTATTGAAAAGCCGCGCCCTTCCTGCCAGCGCTCACCTCGCTCAGCACGTGGGTCCCACAGCGAGTGGACGTCTGGCTTATCCCTGTTGTGGGGCTGGGGGGTAGGGGGTGGTGGTGGTGGGGGGGGTCCCCCGCTAATTCGCCGCTCGGCCACCCCTCCCAGGAGACGATGGAGGCGGTGAAAGTCATCGCGCTCCGGGCCATGCATGACCCGGAGCTCGCCTAGGACTCACGCAGTCGGTGGCAGGGGGACGGCGCGGAGAGACGTGGAGGGGGGGGGGCGGAGGGAGGGCCGGGGGAGACGGCGCGGGGAGAGAGAGGAGACGGCACGGGGAGAAAGGAGAAGACGGCGCGGGGAGGGGGAGAGGAGACGCGGCGAGAGGAGATGTCACGGGGAGAGGGGAGACGCGGGGGGAGAGTAGAAGACGGCACGGGGAGGGGGGGTGGGGGAGACGTCACGGGGGAGAGGAGACGCGGGGACGCCACGACACACCGAGCTCCCCGACTACGCGCGAGTGACGACGCTGCTGACGCTGGTGACGCTGCTGACCGCCGCCGCGTCCCTCGCGCGCTTCACGGAGCGACCCCGCACGCGGTGACGCGCGACTTGCATCACCGCACCCCCGATCGGCACGCTCGGCGACGCACGGTGCGAAAGAAGTTCAACAAACATGCACGCATTCATTATCGCAACGCGTTTCGAATGGCGCCGCCGCCCCCCCTGTGGCAGCTGTCCCTGCGCGGCACAGGGTGACTGATCACGTGTCCCTGCGAGCGGGACTCTGTCCGCCAGTAGGGGGTTGATGGCCGCTGCTGCTGTGTGGCTGTGATCCCGGTTGAGTCATCTTTTTTGCGGGGCAATGTTTTGAATTGGGCGACTTTGGGCCGTTGTGCCAGTACTCTGTGGCATACTCGATAAGTGGCACACGAACACCTACGCAACACACACACACAGCTACGGAACATAACCACACACATACACACACACACCTATGGAACATGAACATACACACCCATGGAACGTAACTACACACATACGCACACCTATTGAAGATGAACATACATGCCTATGGAACGTAGCCACCCAAACACACACAGCTATGGAACATAACCACACAACAACATCCTATGGAACATAACCACACACACACACATGTGGACCATGACCACACAGCTATGGAACATGACACACACACACACACACCTATGCTAAACCCACACACACATGAAACTGGTATTGGTCAAGGAATCCCAATGCTGAACAATACCCAGATAATCGCCCAATTTTGATCACATACAGCAGCAGCAGCCAACAGCCGACATCGCCACCCCGCCCCAATGAAAGCCTGGCAAGGAGTCTTGAGACTCGGTGAGGCTATCTCGGGTGAACACGCGAGGGGTATCATAATAATGCCCACTGTGTTGGGCGCTTCACGTGAACCGCCACCGGGGTACGTGAATGAACGCGAGCGAGCGAGCGAGTGAGCAGCTTGGGAGCAAGAGGACCTGGCGGAGCCATGAGCCAGAACGTCAACTGGGTGGTTTCCCCATTCTTATCGCACATTCGCATTGCTGTAGATTCGCCTGATTGTCATTATTATTATCTCAAATTTAATGTTTTTTGGAGGTTTTTAATGAAGAATGAGAATGTACGTGCCAGGGGCCTTGGTTTAAGGGGAGGGACCCTTAATTGAAATAAATATCGGCAAAGATTACCACGAGAGTGTTATGGTGACGCGTTGTGAGCTTTACAAAACATGGATAGAGACGGAGACCCACAGGCTAGCAAAGAGACCCACAGACTCGCACAGAAACCCACAGAATCGCACAGAGACCCACCGACTCGCACAGATACCCACATAATCGCACAGAGACCCACAGACTCGCACAGAGACCCACAGGTGGCACAGAGACCCACAGGCTCGAACAGAGACCACAGGCTGGCACAGAGACCCACAGACTCGCACAGAGACCCACAGGCTCGCACAGAGACCCACAGACTCGCACAGAGACCCACAGACTCGCATAGAGACGCACAGGTGGCAGAGAGACCCATAGAATCGCAGAGAAACCCACAGGCTGGCAGAGAGACCCACAGACTCGTACTGAGACCCAGACACGCACAAGAGACTCACAGGCACACATAGACAACATACCCTCCTAGAGACCCATAGACACAGTGACCCGTAGGTTCGCACAGAGAAACAATAGACTTGCACAGATACCCAGTGTTACGTGATATTCGCGCAATTCTTAGAACGAAAAGGAGCAATAATGAGTGAGCAGAGAATGAGGATCAGTCGGACGCGTCCTGAGTTGGAGGTGGAATTTATTTGAAGACAAAAACCCCTTCCACAAAATGGGACGGCGGGATTCAGAATAATATTTACATGCGGCTGTTTGGTTCAATACAAAGATGCCATCATCATCATCATCGTCATTGTCAATTACATTATATTCATATTTTTTATTTTATTATAACGAGTTCCAAGTAAGGAATAATAATATTAGCCTCTATGAAATAAAAAAACCCGATAATAACTCGACTATATGCCACGCCGGTAATTGAGAAGCCAGAAGCGAAGCTGAAAGCCACACACACACATACTGCCACCTGCCACATAATTTAGAATGTTTACTTATACTGGAGGAGGAATCCGATGAGCTATGAAGCTCTTTTTCACAGATGTCCACAGAGTGAGTCCCAGGCGGGTTGCACATTCATGAGGGCCCATGTGCAAAATATCACGAGGTGCCAGCGTCCCAACAATTCATGGGGCATTTCCAATATTCAAGAGGGCCCATATCCCGCCCAAAAATAAGTTAATTGTCCCGTGCCTCACAATTCTCGAGACCCAGCATCTTTATATTGACGAGGTTCAATCGTCGCACAGGCATGAGCGTCCAAAAAATTTCACGAGACCCAACGCCTCGAAATTCAAGTTCGACAACTCATCCTTCGCGAGGGCCCGAAATAAACAAATAAAATAGAGCCCACGTTTCAAAATTCACCACGGCCCATGTCACCGAAAATTCAAGAGGTACATCCAGCGTCCAAGGTCCACGATGCCAGATATAATTCACTAGCCCCCCCCCCACCCCCGCCCGCGTCCCAAACAAATGAGGGCCCGTGTCCAAAAAAACAAGCGCGCATTTGATCGGAAATTGTGTTGAGAGTGCCGTGCGGTTTGTCTCTGGAGCCCGCGATTTACCGGTGGTGCAGTTTAATTTTTTGCCTATCGTTCTGTTGTTGTTGCCGAAACTCGAGAGATTATTTCCCCGTCGACTCGACGATCCCACCTAGAATTGGGGCGGCGTTCCAGGACGGATGCAACCCGCGTCGCGCAAATAAAATCCGAGCAGAAAAAGGCCCAAGTGGAAAGATGCTCGCGGTGGTGGCCGGGAAACGATTCCCGTGCCCCACCCCCCCCCACCTCCCAAGCAGATCGTAACGGCCGGCAGGGTCACACGGGGTCACAAAGCAAAGGCGAAAGGGTCACCCCGGCTGATTCATCAATGTCCAGAGGCAGGGTCACGACGGAGGTCACCTAGCGTGGTTCGCAATGGCGAAGCGGCTGTGAAACTTAACCACGACGGCGACGTTCGGAACGAGGGGAAAGGTATCATTCGGTTTACAAAAGGGGGATGCGATTTTCAGAAAGGAGGAACATGCACGCAAAACGAAATTTTGTAAATGGCTTTTGCCATGAATTAAATCGGAAAAATTCTGGATGTGTTTCGGAGAGGTCATTCCCCACTCTAATCCTAACCAAACGATATACAGGGACTCCTCTACTTACGAACTTTCAGAGATACGAACAAACCTGGTCCGTCTGTCCAGTTGCCTGTTCGGACCGAGAGTCGTACATTCAACCTCCGCGCAATAGATGGCGGTGGTGGCATCTACATCTGCAGAACATGAAGAACCAGTGGCATCTACATCTTCGGAACGTGAAGAACCGGTGGCATCTACATCTACAGGAGATGATACAACTTTTAAAGCCATTCCCCGTATTAAGTGCACATGCCTACAACATGTTTGGAATCGACAGCAGTGACGTTGGACTTACGAACAAATCGACTTACGAACAGACCTCTGGAACCTAACTCGTTCGTACGTAGATGAATCCCTGTACACCTATATAACTTTTCACAATCCTAAACGAATAATAAAGAATACTAATATTAAAACGATTGCATCGTAAATACTACCCCCCCACCCCCCCCGCCCCCCCCCAAATAAAAATCTAATTAACCTTTCCAAGGAACTCACCAACAAAAATCTGCTTGGGTGTTGGGAATGACTGCAGAGGCGATGTGGAGGCGCTACCGTTGAACTTGCAGGGATACAGTTGTGCTGTCACCGATGACTGCAGCCTTCCCCACGGAGAGGCTTCACGTTTTGGTGACGATGTCACGGCAACGATCTCACCACCACGGCGGCGGCGTGCCGCGGTGAAATTTCGTTCAGGCTTGAAGGGCAAAAAATAAAATCACAATGGATTTCGGTCAATCGAAAAGCGTCCACGGTTCGAACGCGAAATTTCGCGAGCGGGGAAAACGTTCGTACCATCGAAGGATCCCCGTCTCTGGATTACTCTCGAGGGTCAATCATATATATATGGGGAGGGGTGGGTAAACATTATATGAAGGCGCAGCCCTGCAATCCGAGGGATACCTGCACTGCAAGAGCCGGTGCCGGATATTGAAATCAGAGTCGGGGCGCAGTGAACGTGACGTGACCCGCGAGAGGGAACCCAATCTCCGTTCGAACTCCCTCGACATCTCTGACCCCGCGAGGATCACACGCTGTTGATAACGCCCGCGAAAGCGGAAACCTTGGACCCAATGGGGGGAAAATGGGGTTACGAGTGAACATAGGTGGGGGAGGAGATGTGGGGGGAGGGATATGGTAAATGTTTAATAACAATGAGCACAATAAATAATTTATAAAGAACAATGTTTTTTTTATATATATTAAAAAAAATCAACCTCGGTCACGATTTGACGACGATGCAGGGTGGGTGGGTGGGTGACGCCGAGGGGTTAGGGATGAAGACGTCTTCCTCGCGAACGGCGATCAAGGGCGAGTGACAAGCCAGCGCAAAGCGGCACGTGCAAAGTAACAGCAAGCAGTAACAACAACAAAAATAGCACAGCAGCCGAGTTCAGAGGAAGCTGCAGGATTAGTCGGAGTAAACCTGCTCGTGGCACGGGGGATGACCAAGAGACTGAGGACAACACGGGCTGCCGCGGTGGGAGCGCCTCACCTTTTCGCGGACGAAAACTAAAAATGTTTGAAACGAAAACCCCCCGAAAAATATTCTTGGTTCTTTCGGTAAAGTCACGTGGTGGTGGTGGTGGTGGCGGTGGCAGTGGTGGCGGTGGCAGTGGTGGTGCCGGTGGTGGCGGTGATGGCAGTGGTGGTAGTGGTAGTGCCGGTGGTGGTGGTGGTGGTAGTAATAAAATAAAATTCCAATTTAAAATAAAAATAAGAAATTGTGTGTTTTTGTTTTTCAATTTATAATTGTATTTTATTATTTTTATTTTCTATCTACGTGACTTTACCGAAAGAACCAAGAATATGAATTCCTGCAGTCACGAAAGTTTCAAGCCGAAAGAAAGACCTCCGGTGGTCTGCCACACGAGGTTACAAAGGCCGCGAACACTGGGAGTTGGGCCGGGTCACGAAGAGTGTGCGTTCAGTCACTCGCGAATCCAGAGCGCGTGAACGTTCACTGTACATCGATCGCATGTACAAAGACGAAGAGCCCCCGTATGGCCTTATGAACTGTTGGGGCAAGTGCTGTTAGCAAGCATCTATTAAGGCCATAGACAGGCAACGTGCACCTCTGATTAGCGCGGTTGGCTATGTACGGTGCGAAAGGAGTTCAGTATACATACACACCCAGCCATAGACTGACACACACTCAGCCACAGACTGACACAAAGACTGTAGGGGCAAGTGCTGTTAGCGAGCACCTGTGAAGGCCGGAACGGCACGCGAGGGGGTGGGTGGCATGCACCACCCCCGGCCGCCTTTGTCTCCCTAGTGGCGATGTTTAGACATCGCACCGGGTATTCATTTGAGGCTGGGTCGACCTAGGTGAGGCCCAGGGCTGGTTCAGATAATAGTCACTGGTGTTCGCCGTGAGCGGGAATCGAACCCGGGTCGCCAGGTTCGTAGTGCAGCGCGCTAACCGCTGCTGACTGACACACACAGATACACACACACACACTACCACAGACACACACATAACCACATACACACACAGGAATGCTGAATTGGAAATCCAATGTCAAATTTGTATGGCAAGCACTGAGAAATTATCATTCAGTAGTGCAAATTCCACGTTCCTATGACAGGGACCGACGTCTTCCTATCAAAGCAGCTACCGCTGACTGCCACCCAGCTGGTTTGTGTGTGTGTGTGTGTGTGCACATGCTGTCACATGTGTGTATGTACCTGTTGGTACATATCGGTAGACGCTAGCTAATGGCACGTGTCCCGCCAGTCTGTTGAGGCTACATGGGGGAACTTTGTCTTTGCTCCTTTCGTGCACATAGAGGTGCTCGTTAGCGGCACGTTCCCACCCCCAGCCCGACTCGGGCACCCCGTCTCCATCTCTTCCCAATGCTCTTCGCTACCCCGCATGGCTCTGGACGAACGCGCGCTGGAGGAGTCGGTGGTGACGACACGGAGGCATGTGGGGGTAGAGCAGCAGCAGGTACAGCAGCAGCAGCAGCAGGGGCAGCAGCAGCAGGGGCAGCAGGGGCAGCAGCAGCAGCAGCAGGGGCAGCAGCAGCAGCAGGGGCGTGCTGGACGGCACGACACGCACGCGCGCGCAACACGGATGCAGTCGCACACGTAGGAATATAAATGATCTCTTTCGTCCTATTTTTCTTCCTCTCTTATTCCCAAGTTATTTTCTCCATAGTTTATAATTATATATTAATTTGTGTGTGTGGTTACGAGTTAAACTGCATTTGTTAAATTCTAATTTTTTGCACAAACGCCCCCCAACCTCCCTCCCCCAGCTCGACCCACCCCGCGACTTTTGCTCGGCTCATGACGCCGTGGCACGGAGAGCCCCAGAGGTCAGGGTCCGGGGTTTGTACCCCAGCCGGGGCGTCGGTGGGCGGTTGACGAGGGGGAGACGAGGGGGGGGAGACGAGGGGGGGGGGAGACGAGGGGGGAGGGGGGGGGAGACGAGGGGGAGAAAAGGGGGAGAGACGAGGGGGGGGAGACGAGGGGGAGGCGAGGGGGAGACGAGTGGGGGGGGAGACGAGGGGGGGGGAGACGAGGGGGGAGACAAGGGGGGGAGACGAGGGGGAGACGAGGGGGGGGAGACGAGGGGGGGGGGAGACGAGGGGGGGAGATGGAGGGGGGAGGCGGGGGAGACGAGGGGGAGACAAGGGGGGGGGGGTTGACGAGGGGGAGGACGAGGGGGGGGGGGAGACGGGGGGGGGAGACGGGGGGGGGGAGGTTGAAGTGAGAGGAGACAGAGGAGAGGATAGGGAGGGGAGAGGAGGTGACCGGGGAGACACGGAGAGTGGGCAGAGTGGACAGGTGAGTCAGGGAGAGTGGACAGGTGAGTCAGGGAGGGTGGACAGAGTGGACAGGTGAGTCAGGGAGAGTGGACAGGTGAGTCAGGGAGGGTGGACAGAGTGGACAGGTGAGTCAGGGAGGGTGGACAGAGTGGACAGGTGAGTCAGGGAGAGTGGACAGGTGAGTCAGGGAGAGTGGACAGGTGAGTCAGGGAGGGTGGACAGAGTGGACAGGTGAGTCAGGGAGGGTGGACAGAGTGGACAGGTGAGTCAGGGAGAGTGGACAGGTGAGTCAGGGAGAGTGGACAGGTGAGTCAGGGAGGGTGGACAGAGTGGACAGGTGAGTCAGGGAGCGGGGACAGGTGAGTCAGGGAGGGTGGACAGAGTGGACAGGTGAGTCAGAGAGAGTGGACAGAGTGGACAGGTGAGTCAGAGAGAAGGACGCGGAGAGGAACCGTGAGGAGGTAGTGGAGGGTCGCAATGCGGTTGCCAAAAGCTCGGTCGGCGTAACAGGGCGGCGAATAAAAAATAAAAACGAAGAATCTCACAGCACGGAGATCCCCCCACCCCCCCCCGCGGCAAAGGGACGTCGCCGGTCCGCACTCGTTTAAGGCCGAGTCGACCTAGGCGAGGCACCGCATCGGGGTTGACGCTGGGCCGCCAGAGGGGAATGTAACTCAGCAGCACTGACGGCGGCCGAGCGTGGCGCTCCAACCCACGCCTGCCGCGTGAGCGTGGACGCACAGCACGCTGACACCGAGCGGAGTCGTGGAGGTGGTGCGGGTGGGGGGGGGGGGTGGAGGCGAACCGTGGGGGGTACGCGGGGAGGGAACCGCCAGAGAGGGGAGGGGGCCCAAGTCGCCTCCCCTGTATGGGGTGGTGGGGGTGGGGTGGAGGTGGATTTGGGCGTGGGGGGCCATGTGACCCTCCTCCCGCGAGGATTTTGAATCGCGTCGACCGCAGCTCCGTTCCGTAGCGGCGGCCTCAAACCGCGCGGGGAGGGGGGAGGCGGTTGTTGTTGTTGTTGTTTGTTGTTGTTGTTTGTTGTTGTTGTTTGTTGTTGTTGTCGGTGGAGCCAGAGGTCGACCCGGTTCACAGCTTCTCGCGCGAGGGGATCCACACGTAAGGCCCCGACTGCTCGTCAATGACGAACTTGGACTGCTCGTAGATCTCGTCCAGGGAGTCGCCCTGCACCACCGCTGCATGGACGCAGGTGGGGGAGGGGGGGGGGCGGAGAGGGGGGGGGCACGTTTTAATTTGCTGGTGCGAAGAGTGACCGACCACGCCGCGTGATGTCACTTCCTGCGAGAGACGTCGTATTTTTCTGTTTGGATCGTCACGTGACAATGGTTCTCCCGTCCGCTTCGTGCGGAATTCTGCGGCCCGACCTGAAAATCGGTGGAGTGGCGCGACCGGCAGAACCGCGACGTAATATGGCAATAACCTCGACGTGGTGGTGGTGGCGGTGGTGGTCGTGGTGGCGGTGGTGGTGGCAGTGGCAGTGGTGGTAGTGGTAGTGGTGGCAGTGGTGGTGGTAGCGGTGGTGGTAGCGGTGGTGGTAGCAGTGGTGGTGGTAGCGGTGGTGGTGGTAGTGGTAGCAGTGGCGGCAGTGGCGGTGGTGGCAGTGGTGGTGCCGGTGGTGGCGGCGATGGCAGTGGTGGTAACAGTAGTGGTAGTGCCGGTGGTGGTGGTAGTGGTGGTGGTGGTAGCGATGGTGGTAGCGGTGGTGGTGGTAGTGGTGGTGGTGGTAGCGATGGTGGTAGCGGTGGTGGTGGTAGTGGTGGTGGTGGTGGTAGCGGTGGTAGTGATGGTAGTGGTGGTGGTAGCGGTGGTGGTGGTGGTAGTGATGGTAGTGGTGGTGGTGGTAGCGGTGGTGGTGGTAGCGGTGGTGGTAGCGGTGGTGGTGGTAGCGGTGGTGGTGGTAGCGGTGGTGGTGCTAGTGGTGGTAACGGTGGCGGTAGTGGTGGTGGTGGTAGCGGTGGTGGTGGTAGTGGTGGTAGCGGTGGCGGTAGTGGTGGTGGTGGTAGCGGTGGTGGTAGCGGGGGTGGTGGTAGCGGTTGTGGTGGTAGCGGTGGTGGTGGTAGCGGTGGTGGTAGCGGTGGTGGTGGTAGTGGTGGTGGTGTTAGTGGTGGTAGCAGTGGTAGTGGTGGTGGTGGTAGTTGTGGTGGTGGTGGTAGTGGTGGTGGTGGTGGCGGTAGTGGTGGTGGTGGTGGTAGCGGTGGTGGTGGTAGTGATGGTAGTGGTGGTGGTAGCGGTGGTGGTGGTGGTAGTGATGGTAGTGGTGGTGGTGGTAGCGGTGGTGGTAGCGGGGGTGGTGGTAGCGGTTGTGGTGGTAGCGGTGGTGGTGGTAGCGGTGGTGGTGGTGGTAGGGGTGGTGGTGGTAGTGGTGGTGGTGGTGGTGTTAGTGGTGGTAGCAGTGGTAGTGGTGGTGGTGGTAGTGGTGGTGGTAGTGGTGGTGGTAGTGGCGGTAGGGGCGAGTCACCTGTGAAGAACTCCCCGAAGTCCTGCTCCAGCTTGAGGGCACGCTCGTACGCCTTGCGCGCCTGCTCCTCGCTCAGCCGCTTGTTCAGATCCCTGCGGGGACGACGAGGGACCACGTCGACGAGGTCGAGGACGACGACGTCGAGGACGACGACGTCGACGAGGTGGGGACGATGACGTCGAGGACGACGACGCGGGGCCGGCGCCGAGGTGCAGCGACACAGAGAGCACACGGCATCGGGGCCGTTACGCTAAAGATCATCAGCGGCGTCCCAAGAGCTGCATGGCGGTGCCGATCGCTGCCTTTTTAATGGCCACCATCAAAATGAATTATCGGAGCAACGGTGACCGGTAGCGGCAGTGAGGCAGTGAGAGGCAAACGGTGCATTGGAGGTGGACACGGCGAGAGGTGGACACGGCGAGAGGTGGACACGGCGAGGCGGACACGGCGTGATGGACACGGCATGGTGGACACGGCATGGTGGACACGGCGTGATGGACACGGCATGGTGGACACAGCGAGGTGGACACAGTACAGTGGACACAGTGAAAGGTGGACCCAGAGAGAGGTGGACACGGCGAGGTGAATACGGCGTGATGGACACGGCGAGAGGTGGACACGGCGTGTTGACACAGCGAGGTGGACACAGTACAGTGGACACAGTGAAAGGTGGACCCAGAGAGAGGTGGACACAGTTCGAGGTGGACACGGCGTGATGGACACGGCGTAGTAGACAGCGAGGTGGACACGGCGTGGTGGACATGGCGAGAGGTGGACACGGCGAGGTGGACACGGCGAGAGGTGGACACAGTACAGTGGACACAGCGAAAGGTGGACCCAGAGAGAGGTGGACACAGCCCGAGGTGGACATCTCACATGATGCACTCGAGGGACTTGGGCCGGATGAAGATGGCGACGGGGTGAAGCTGCGCGGCCTGCAGGCGCTTGATCGCGTTCCCTGACACGTCCAGGATGCAGTGCTTGCCCTGCACGCAGCACGCACAAAGGTCCCCCGTGTAGCCCACACCGCCCGGCGGGGCAAGGGCAGCGGCGCCCCCGGCTGCCTTCGCCCGCTACTCGTTTAAGGCTGAGTCGACCTAGGCGAGGCACCGCATCGGGGTTGACGCTGGGCCGCCCGAGGGGGAATTGAACTCGGGACCCCACGCGTGCGTGAGCGTGGACGCACACACTGAATCACTGTCGCTCGTGAAAAACACAAATACAATATCCCCCCCCACCCCCCCCCGTATAGCCTCATACGGACTGTGGGGTCAAGTGCTCTTGACCGGCAAGGCACACAAGGGGGGTGGGGTGACCAGCAACACCCCCGGCCACCTTTGTCTCCCCAGCGTGCGATGTTAACACACCACACCGTGGTCTCCAATTGAGGCTGAGTCGACCTAGCGGAGGCCTAGGACGAGTTCGGATAATCGTCACCGGTGTTGTTGGCCGTGAGCGGGAATCGAACTCGGGTCGCCGGGTTCGTAGCGCGGTGTAGCGCCGACCGCTACACCGCCGCTCCCCACACACACACAATCACAGTGGCGACAGCTGTGGTGGTGATGGCTGCCGTGTCGGTGGCAGTGGTATGCGGTGACGATGGCTGCGGTGGTGACGGCGGTGTCGCCGATGACTGTGTCGGCGGCGATGGCTGCGGCGGCGGTGATGGCTGCGGCGCTGGTGTCGGCTGCGGCGCTGGTGTTGGATGCGGCGCTGGTGTTGGCACCTTCTCTGCGACGTTGCGCACGCTCTGCACGCTGGTGCCGTACAGGTGCCCGTTGTACTGCCCCGCCTCGATGAACTTGTGGTCCTGGATGTCGCGCTCCATCTGTTCGCGCGTCGCCACGAAGTGGTAGTCGCGCCCGTCCACCTCGTAGTCCCGCTTGGGCCGCGTCGTGTCTGCCGTTTGGGGGGGAGGGGGGGCGGTGGTGGGGACGGGGGGGGGGGAGGGCAGCCCAGGTGACAGCCGGACAGGTCAGAAGGTCAATAGTTCACACCGGCGGGGTTCCACTATGACGCTCGCAGGGGTCGTGCTGAGTTGTGTGTGTGTATGTCAGTGTGTGTGTCTCGTTGTCCGGCAAAAACAACCCCCTACCTCCTCGCGGTGCCGGACGGGCAACTCTGTCGTGGACAGCGCTGTGGGGGGAGATCCAATTTTGATTGGCTCCTCCCCTCATGGCATATGTGTCCACCACAGGGGCAAAACGGGGGCTCTGGACGGGTGCAAGGGGCTGGTAACCCCTCCACCTTCAATTAATTACCACGAAACTACGAATTAAACTGAAATATGTAACAACTAAGCTTGTGCCGGAGGCCCCGGGGGGCCAGGCGTCTATGACGTCTCCTGGCCAAACCCCAATTGGCGGAGCCAGGAGATTGAATACCTACCCTCGGGGCTACTCCAGAAACAACGAAAAGCCACTACGGTTGGCCACGTGGAATGTTCGAACGCTCACTGCAGAGGAGAGGCTGCCACTCCTCTGTCGGGAGCTGGACCGGTACCGCCTGGATCTATGCGGCATTCAGGAGGTCCGGTGGACCGGCTCTGGCTCCTGCCACCATGAGGGGTGGACAGTCCTCTACTCGGGGCAGCAGACTGCCAAACAACAGGGTGTGGGTCTTCTTTTGAACAAAAGATTGAAGGGGGCGTGGGAGCGTGGCGGTGAGGTGTGGGAAGCTGTAAGCCCCAGGCTACTTTGGGCTCGCCTTCCCATCAACCGGAGGCGAGGAATGGTGGTCGTGGTTACTTATGCCCCCACCGAAGATGAACATCCGTGGAGGGATGCAGGCAAAGCCGATGAGTCAGATGCCTTCTATGACCTCCTGTCACAGGTGCTGGCTAAAGTGGCCCCTCGGGATAGAGTCATCATGTTGGGTGACTTCAATGCCCGAGTTGGTCATGATACTGGCACCTGGTCTGGAGTGATTGGAGGGCATGGGCCAGATCAGCTCAATAACAACGGTAGGAGGCTGCTAGATTTTTGTGCAGCCCATGGGCTTGTAATTACCAACACGCTGTTCCGGCATCGGCGCATCCACACAACATCATGGATGCATGCCGGGTCCAAGCAAGAACATCTGCTGGACTACATAGTGACGGACCAGCGAATGCGAGCCCATGTCCTTGACACCAGGACCTACCGTGGAGCTGATCTGCCCTCTGACCATCGACTAGTCATCTGTAAGATGCGCCTGCCATTCTTCCACTCCGGTGGTGGGTGTACACCCAGGACCCCATTCCAACCTAAAGTGGCCTGGTCTCAGTTATCTGATGAAAGTTGCAAGCGAGAATTTCATCATCGCTTGCGGCTGGGATTGGCATCGTCCCCGACTCCTCCTGATGTCGAGGGTAAATGGGCGAGGTTTAGGACTGTGACTCATGCAGCTGCAATGGCTGCTTTGGGTACGCGGTCCAGACCTCCCCAGACACCCTGGATGACAGAGGAGTTGTTCACGATGGTTGATAAAAAGCGACAGGCCCACTGTCATCGGCTACAGAATCCCACATCAGAGAATGAGGAGGCTTACCGCAGCCTTCGCTCGGAGGTTCGGAGAGCCGTGAGGCGCTGCAAGGATGGGTGGTGGTCGCGGGTTGCTGAGGAGATGGAGTCTGCCTCAGTGGCCCGTGATCACAAATCTCTATTTAACTCCATCAAAAAAGTAACCTGCAGCGCCACACCTATTACCATCATTAGGGGAAAAAACGGTGATCCGATTTCCGACCCCCAGGAACAGGTTCGCAGATTTGCTGAGCATTTCTGTGAGGTCCTGGGGGAGGGAAAATCCCTCAGCCAGGAAAACATCGTGGCACAAAGTGAGGATGACCCTGCTGAGGCTGCGGTGCCTCAAATATTGGATGAAGTCACCCCCTGTGAGTGGCTGGCTGAGGTGCCATCTGCTGAGGAAGTATTGAAGGCGATCCGGAGTCTGAGACCAGGAAAGGCAGCGGGCAGAGATGATCTCCCAAGCGAAATGCTGAGGGAGGGTGGCGTTTGTGCACAGACTGCCCTATATGACATCATAACAACAGTCTGGACCACTGGACGGGTTCCGCAGGATTGGAAGGATGCCCTGGTGGTCCCCCTTTTTAAGAAGGGGGACCGCACAGACTGTAACAACTACAGGGGCATCTCACTCCTCAGTGTGCCGGGAAAGGTCCTGGCAAGGATTATTCAGTATCGCCTTGCCAGGCACGCTGAGGAGAGGCTTGCGGAGCCCCAATGCGGTTTCAGGAAAGGGCGGTCCTGCACAGATGCCATATTTTCTGTCCGTCTGCTACAGCAGAGGTGTAGGGAATTCCAACAAGACCTACATCTCTGCTTTATTGACCTGGTCAAGGCCTATGATACCATCAGTAGGCCTGGGCTCTGGGTCGTTCTTCGTGCTTTTGGAGTACCTGACCCTCTGCTCACGATCATTAAGGACCTTCATGATGGTGAGCGGGCCCGGGTAAAACTACGTGGCCGGGAGTCAGAGCCATTCCCTGTACACCTTGGGGTGCGACAGGGATGTCCTCTGGCTCCCACATTATTTAACATCTATTTTGACCACGTAGTTTGTGAAGCCTTCAATAGCTGTACCGGGGGAATCTCCATATGGTACAGATATAATGGGAGGCTAATCGATGCCCGGGTGCGGTCAAGGGATGGCTCCCTATTGCTCAACCACGTTATGTATGCTGATGACTTGGTAATAGCTGCTCAGTCAGAGGAGGAGTTGGAGACGCTGCTGCTGAGACTGGAGCGTGCCACTAAGAGGTGGGGCCTTACCATCAGCCCCACCAAAACTAAGCACCTGCCTGGGTATTTTGTACCATCGGACACTCCACCCCCACAACTCCCAATCGGTGATGGGGCAGTTGTGGAGAGAGTGGAGAGTTTCCCATACCTGGGCAGTGTGCTTATGACTGGCTCCAGTTTAACAGCAGAGGTCTCACTCCGAATCAGTCGAGCGGCAATATCTTTTCATCGGTTGCGTAACGCTGTGTGGAAGCTACCTGGTCTGTCGCTCCGCACTAAGCTTCAGGTCTTCTCGGCCACGGTCATTCCCTCCCTTCTCTACGCTTGCGAAACGTGGACCCCCCTAATGGAACATCTTCGCCGGTTAGTAACATTTAGGCTGGCCTGCCTACGATCCATCCTGGGTTTAACCAGACTGGATTGTGTGAGGAGCTCACAAATCCTTGAAAGATCTGGGCAGGGTCCCATCGGTGAGCTCCTCCGGCAGGCAAGGCTGCGATGGCTGGGTCATGTAGCCCGCATGCCCAGCCACCGCATGCCGAAACAGCTTTTGTTTGGCCGGATTGAGGGGGCTAAGCGGGCCCGGCACGGGCTAGAGAAGAGATGGAGTGATGTGGTACAGGAGGACGTGGAGCTGAGTGGACTTGCCCATGACTGGTACCAGCGGTGTCAAGATCGGCCTCTGTGGAGGAGGCTCGTGAAGGATGCTACTGGGCAGTTGGAGGCAGTCGCCCTCCAACAACAATGGAGGGCGGAGGAGCGACGCTCACAACAGCGAGCGGAGCGCCGGGTGGCTAAAGCACAGCAGGTTGGCACAGTAGGGGGCACAGGTGGTGCATCAGCCAGTCATCTCAGTCAGTCGACCCGTGGCACCTGGGTCTGCCCCGTGACCTCCTGCCAGCGGGCGTTCGACACTTCACGTGGCCTCAGGGTGCACATAGCCTGGCACAAGCGTCATGGTGACGTCACCGCCACTTAGTGGCGAATGGCGGTTGTTGTTGTTGTTGTTGTTGTGTCTCGTTGTGTGTGTGTGTGTGTCAGTGGATTGTGTGAGGAGCTCACACAATCCTTGAAAGATCTGGACAAAGTCCCATCGGTGAGCTCCTCCGGCAGGCAAGGCTGCGATGGCTGGGTCATGTAGCCCGCATGCCCAGCCACCGCATGCCCAAACAGCTTTTGTTTGGCCGGATCGAGGGGGCTAAACGGGCGCGGCACGGTTTAGAGAAGAGATGGAGTGATGTGGTACAGGAGGACGTGGAGCTGAGTGGACTTGCCGATGACTGGTACCAGCGGTGTCAAGATCAGCCTCTGTGGAGGAGGCTCGTGAAGGACGCTACTGGGCAGTAGGAGGCAGTCGCCCTCCAACAACAACAGAGGGCGGAGGAGCGACGCTCACAACAACGAGCGGAGCGCCGGGTGGCTAAAGCACAGCAAGTTGGCGTAGTAGGGGGCACAGGTGGTGCATCAGCCAGTCATCTCAGTCGACCAGTGGCACCTGGGTCTGCCCCGTGACCTCCTGCCAGCGGGCGTTCGACACTTCACGTGGCTCAAGGTGCACATGGCCTGGCACAAGCGTCGTGGTGACGTCACCGCCACTTCGTGTCGAATGGCGGTTGTTGTTGTTGTGTGTTAGTGGGGAGCGGTGGTGCAGCGGTTAGCGCACTGCACTGCTACAAACCTGGCAAGCCCGGGTTCGATTCCAGCTCACGGCCACCAACACCGGTGACGATTATCTGAACCGGTCCTGGGCCCTCCCCTAGATCGACTCAGCCTCGAATGAGTACCTGGTGCAGTGTGTAAAAACATCGCCACTGGGGAGACAAAGGCGGCCGGGCGTGGTTGCTGGCCACCCACCCCCTCGTGTGCCGTGCCGGCCTTCGTAGGTGCTCGCGAACAGCACTTGCCCCCTACAGTCTGTCAAGGCTACACACGGGGGGAGGATCTTTGTCTTTGTTTTGCCGTGGTCTGTGCGTGGTGGGGAAGGCGTGCTGAGGCGTGGTATACTCGATGTGGTGTGCTGGGGGCGGCGCGGGGTGCTACGCACGGGGCACACAGGAGCCGAACTTGTCGGGGAACTCCGAGATGAGGTCATCGTTGACCCGGTCCTTCATGGGGCCCAGGATGATGACCGGTCGTGCGTATCGCACTGCACACACACACGCACACACACACACACGTACACACACGTGCACACACACACGCACGTACACACAAACACGTACACACACACACGCACACACACACGCACGTACACACACACACGCATACACACACGTACACACACACACACACACGTACACACACACACGTACACACACACACGCACGTACACACACGCACGTACACACACGCACGTACACACACACACGTACACACACACGTGCACACACACGTGCACACACACGTGCACACACACACACGTACACACACACACGCACACACACACACACGTACACACACACACACGCACACACACACGCACGTACACACACACGTGCACACACACACGCACGTACACACAAACACACACGTACACACACACACGCACGTACACACACGCACGCACAGGGCGCAGGATGATGACCGGTCGTGTGTGTATACGTGTGTGCGCGTGTGTGCACGTGTGTGTGTGTTGGGTACGTGTGTGCGCGCGCGTGTTGTGTACGTGTGTGTGTACGTGTGTGTGCGCGCACGTGTGTGCACGTGTGTGTGTGCACGTGTGTGTGTGCACGTGTGTATGCTCACGCTCTTGCTGCAGGACGGGCTCGTACGAGAGGATGTACTCCTCCTGGACGCCAGCTGAGAACGCAGAGGGGTCGAAGGCCATCGTCATTGTCCCCCCTCCCACAATGCCCCACGCCGCCACGGCACCACGTGGCCACGTTACCGGGTTACAACGTTACCAGGTTTAACACGTCACTGGGTTTACGAGTTATCTTGTTGGCATGTTAATACGTTATCAGGTTACCACGTTACCATGTTGCCACGTTACCAGGTTACCTGATAGCAGTGGTACCGATGGCCCATTATAGCACTTAGTGACTAGCACCCAGCATCTAGTGACTAGCACTTAGTGACTAGCACCCAGCACCTAGAGACTAGCACTTAGTGACTAGCACCAACCATGCAGTGACTAGAACCCAGCACCCAGTGACTAGCACCCACCACCTAGAGACTAGCACTAAGTGACTAGCACCCAGCACCTAGTGACTAGCACTTAGTAACTAGCACCCAGCACCTAGAGACTAGCACTTAGTGACTAGCACCAACCACGCAGTGACTAGCACCCAGCACCCAGTGACTAGCACCCACCACCTAGAGACTAGCACTAAGTGACTAGCACCCAGCACCTAGTGACTAGCACTAAGTGACTAGCACCCAGCACCTAGTGACTAGCACTAAGTGACAAGCACCCAGCACATAGAGACTAGCACTTAGTGACTAGCACCAACCACCCAGTGACTAGCACCCAGCACCCAGTGACTAGCACCCACCACCTAGAGACTAGCACTAAGTGACTAGAACCCAGCACCTAGAGACTAGCACTTAGTGACTAGCACTTAGTGACTAGCACCCAGCACGTAGAGACTAGCACTTAGTGACTAGCACCCACCACCCAGTGACTAGCACTTAGTGACTAGCTCCAACCACCCAGTGACTATCACTTAGTGACTAGCACCAACCACCCAGTGACTAGCACCAACCACCCAATGACTAGCACCCACCACCTAGAGACTAGCACTTAGTGACTAGCACCAACCACCCAGTGACTAGCACTTAGTGACTAGCACCCAGCAGCTAGAGACTAGCACTTAGTGACTAGCACTAAGCACCTAGAGACTAGCACTTAGTGACTAGCACCCACCACCCAATGACTAGCACTTAGTGACTAGCACCCACCACCCAGTGACTAGCACTTAGTGACTAGCACCCACCACCCAGTGACTAGCACCCAGCACCTAGAGACTAGCTCCCAGTGACTAGCACCCACCACCCAGTGTCTAGCACTTAGTGACTAGCACCCAGCACCTAGAGACTAGCACTTAGTGACTAGCTCTTAGTGACTAGCACTTAGTGACTAGGACTTAGTGACAAGCACCCAGCAGCTAGAGACTAGCACTTAGTGACTAGCACCCACCACCCAATGACTAGCACTTAGTGACTAGCACCCACCACCCAGTGACTAGCACCCAGCACCTAGAGACTAGCACTTAGTGGCTAGCACCCAGCACCCAATGACTAGCACTTAGTGACTAGCACCCACCACCCAGTGACTAGCACCCAGCCGCTAGAGACTAGCTCCCAGTGACTAGCGCCCACCACCCAGTGACTAGCACTTAGTGACTAGCACCCACCACCCAGTGACTAGCACTTAGTGACTAGCACCAACCACCCAGTGACTAGCACTTAGTGACTAGCACCCACCACCCAGTGACTAGCACTTAGTGACCAGCACCCACCACCCAATAACTAGCACTTAGTGACTAGTACCCACCATCCAGTTACTAGCACCCAGCACCTAGAGACTAGCACTTAGTGACTAGCACCCACCACCCAGTGACTAGCACTTAGTGACTAGCACCCACCACCCAGTGACTCGCACTTAGTGACTAGCACCCAGCACCTAGAGACTAGCACTTAGTGACGAGCACCCAGCACCTAAAGACTAGCACTTAGTGACTAGCACTCAGCACCTCGAGACTAGCACTTAGTGACTAGCACCCACCATCCAGTGACTAGCACACAGCACCTAGAGACTAGCACTTAGTGACTAGCACTTAGTGACTAGCACCCAGCACGTAGAGACTAGCACTTAGTGACTAGCACCCAGTACCTAGAGATTAGCACTTAGTGACCAGCACCCACCATCCAGTGACTAGCACCCGGGACCTAGAGACTAGTGCTTAGTGACTAGCATCCACCACCTAGAGACTAGCACTTAGTGACTAGCATCCAGCAGCTGAAGACTAGCACTTAGTGACTAGCACCCACCACCCAGTGACTAGCACTTAGTGACTAGCACCCAGCACCTAGAGACTAGCACTTAGTGACTAGCTCCCAGCAGCTAGAGACTAGCACTTAGTGACTAGCACCCAGCACCTAGAGACTAGCACTTAGTGACTAGCACTTAGTGACTAGCACCAACCATACAGTGACTAGCACCCAGCAGCTAGAGACTAGCTCCAATTGACTAGCACCAACCACCCAGTGACCAGCACCCAGCAGCTAGAGACTAGCACTTAGTGACTAGCACGCACCACCCAATGACTAGCACTTAGTGACTGGCACTAAGCACCTAGAGACTAGCACTTAGTGACTAGCTCCCAGCAGCTAGAGACTAGCACTTAGTGACTAGCATCCAACCACCTAGAGACTAGCACCCAGCACATAGAGACTAGCACTTAGTGACGAGCACTTAGTGAATAGCACCCAGCAGCTAGAGACTAGCACTTAATGACTAGCACCCACCACCCAGTGACTAGCACCCAGCACCTAGAGACTATCACTTAGTGACTAGCACCAACCACCTAGTGACTACCACCCAGCACCTAGAGACTATCACTTAGTGACTAGCACCCACCACCCAGTGACTAGCACCCAGCACCTAGAGACTATCACTTAGTGACTAGCACCAACCACCCAGTGACTAGCACCCAGCACCTAGAGACTAGCACTTAGTGACTATCACCCACCACCTAGAGACTAGCACTTAGTGACTAGCACCAACCATCCAGTGACTAGCACACAGTGACTAGCATCCAGTGACTAGCACCCAGTGACTAGCACCTAGTGACTGCACTTAGTGACTAGAACTCAGCGACTAGAGACTAGCACCCAGTGACTAGCACTTAGTGACTAGCTCCCACCACCTAAAGGCTAGCACCCAGTGACTAGCAACCAGCAGCTATAGACTAGCACTTAGTGACTAGCACTTAGTGACTAGCACCCAATGACTAGCACTAACCACCTAGAGACTAGCACCCATTGACTAGCACCCACCACTCAGTGACTAGCACTAAGAGCCAAGTGACCAGCACCCAGTGACTAGAACTCAGCCACTAGCAGACAGTGAAAAGTACCCAGTAACTAACGCCAAGCGACTAGCAGAGTGACGAGTACCCAGTGACGAGCGCCCAGTCCCTAGTGACTAGTACCCAGTGACTAGCGCCCAGCTCTTAGTAACTAGTACCCAGTGACTAGCGCCCAGCGACTATCAGAAAGCGACTAGCACCCAACCCGTACTGACCAGTACCAAGCGACTAGCGCCTTGCCACTAGCAGACAGCGACTAGCTCCCAGCCCCTAGTGACTAGTACCCAGTGTCTAACTACCAGCCCCTAGTGACTAGTATCCAGCGACTAGCGCCTAGTGACTAGCAGCCAGCGACTAGTACCCAGCCCCTAGTGACTAGTCACCAGCCCCTAGTGACTAGTCACCAGCCCCTAGTGACTAGCAGCCAGCGACTAGTACCCAGCCCCTAGTGACTAGTACCCAGCCCCTAGTGACTAGTACCCAGCCCCTAGTGACTAGTACCCAGCCCCTAGTGACTAGCAGCCAGCGACTAGTACCCAGCCCCTAGCGACTAGTACCTAGCCCCTAGTGACTAGTACCCTAGTGACTAGTACCCAGCCCCTAGTGACTAGTATCCAGCCCCTAGTGACTAGTACCCAGCCCCTAGTGACTAGTACCCAGCCGCTAGTGACTAGTACCCAGCCCCTAGTGACTAGTACCCAGCCCCTAGCGACTAGTACCTAGCCCCTAGTGACTAGTACCTAGCCCCTAGCGACTAGTACCTAGCCCCAAGTGACTAGTACCCAGCCCCTAGTGACTAGTACCTAGCCCCTAGTGACTAGTACCCAGCCCCTAGTGACTAGTACCCAGCCCCTAGTGACTAGTACCCAGCCCCTAGTGACTAGTACCCAGCCCCTAGCGACTAGTACCCAGCCCCTAGCGACTAGTACACAGTGACTAGCACCTAGCCCCTAGTGACTAGTACCCAGTGACTAGTACCTAGCCCCTAGTGACTAGTACCCAGCCCCTAGTGACTAGTACCCAGTGACTAGTACCCAGCCCCTAGCGACTAGTACCCAGTGACTAGTACCCAGCCCCTAGCGACTAGTACCTAGCCCCTAGTGACTAGTACCCAGCCCCTAGTGACTAGTACCCAGTGACTAGTACCCAGCCCCTAGTGACTAGTACCCAGTGACTAGTACCTAGCCCCTAGCGACTAGCACCCAATGACTAGTACCCAGCCCCTAGTGACGAGTACCCAGTGACTAGTACCCAGCCCCTAGTGACTAGTACACAGCCCCTAGTGACTAGTACCCAGCCCCTAGTGACTAGTACCCAGTGACTAGTACCCAGCCCCTAGTGACTAGTACCCAGTGACTAGTACCCAGTGACTAGTACCTAGCCCCTAGTGACTAGTACCCAGTGACTAGTATCCAGCCCCTAGTTACTAGTACCCAGCCCCTAGTGACTAGTACCCAGCCGCTAGTGACTAGTACCCAGCCCCTAGTGACTAGTACCCAGCCCCTAGCGACTAGTACCTAGCCCCTAGTGACTAGTACCTAGCCCCTAGCGACTAGTACCTAGCCCCAAGTGACTAGTACCCAGCCCCTATTGACTAGTACCTAGCCCCTAGTGACTAGTACCCAGCCCCTAGTGACTAGTACCCAGCCCCTGACTAGTACCCAGCCCCTAGCGACTAGTACCCAGCCCCTAGTGACTAGTACCCAGCCCCTAGTGACTAGTACCCAGCCCCTAGCGACTAGTACCCAGTGACTAGCACCTAGCCCC